TACTTTTATAGACAATTTAACAACCTCTCATGTCAAGGGTACCTCGTTTAGAGCCGGGGCGGCATCAGAGTTATAGATATTTGTGCCAACCTGTCGATCCGTAGGGTCCACGTGCGACGAAGTTCCTAAAGGAACTGCATCTGCGACTGGTCGTCGCTGCTGGGCTGGTTCTTTTTTCGCTAATAGGCTAAGTATAGAAACACAGCCAGCATTCTTGGCACGATACCACGGGAATAGGACTGTATTATAATTAAAATTTTTAGTTTTGTGTGTGTACACCTTTTAGTTAAATTTATGGTATTTAAATAAATTGTTACTTATTTATATAGTCCAAAAATAATACTAACAATTGTGTTTATTAAATCCTCTATATAGTCATAAGTGGCAAACTGTAAAAATAGGATACGTAGGATCTCATTTTTTATTTTTGATTTTGTCTTACTTCTTCTTTATCAGTGTATAATTTTTCCCATCATTTTCAGTATATCGGAAAAACTTACATGTCTTAAATGATGGTTTTTCCAAAATGCCTTACATCTTGTAATTTATTGAGATGTTCTTTTTATGGTACCCATGTTTGACAATGATTGGTCAGAATCGGTAAGATACAACATGTATTACACTTCTTTTTTGTCATACTCATATCTTCGATTATAAATACCTTTTTAGCAACCAATGTATTTTCCATGTATTCCCTATTCTTCCACTGTAGGCTTTTGTCATCTGGTTGGTTGGTAATAGTATATGGTCTAAATAAATGTACTATTTAACATTTAAAGTTAAACAAATAGAAATAGAACTGTTTCTATTTGCTTTTCTCAATTTTAATCAAAGATTGGCTCCAAGTTTGGATTAAAGTTGGTAAAAATAACCTTGCGTACATAAATCGAGTGGATGTTGGCAAGGTAATTTTTACCAACTTCAATATAAGGAATTTAAGTAACGCCTGATTCTATTAATTATCTCCAAGTTTGCTCCAGAAGTGAACCGGTGACTTGCTAAATCATGCGGCATCCATCGGAACAAGACATAATCAGAAGGAGCAATGTCCAGCGAATATGGTGGGTGCAGGAAAATATCACACTTGAGCATTTCTAAATAATTTATCACAACTATTGCGACATGAAGCCGAGAATTATTGTGCAAAAGAATAACTTATTTTTGTCTATCCACATATTCTGGCCTTTTTCCTCGTAATGCCTGGATCAAATGAATCAATTGCAGTCTATACGGATCACCTGTGATGGAATCACCAGGTTTTAGCAGATTTTTTTTCACATTTATAATATTAGTAAGATTAGTAGGATATTATTCACAGATGTATAACCTCTCTGAAACCATCACAATCAGCTGTCACTATGAAACATTCATAACAGCCAGAGTCATCTTTTGAAACCCAACCAAATTCTATTTTGTACTCATATTTGAAATAATTACATCCATTACAGCCTATCGAAAGTTCACTGCTGAACATAGGCCTCCTCCATGGATTGCCTCCTTGCTATAGCAGTCATGATTAGCAGGTGGGTTGGCAAAAACAGTTTCCATTATTTTAATTTTTTATCGGAAAAATGCTGCTGCCCATATCCTCTTTTCTAAAATGTTACTCAGACTTAACAAACCTCCTATGAAAGTTGTCATTGATGCCATAACAGATCACGGTTTATTTACAAGTATCTCTTTGCTTTAGGCCTTAGGACACAGGGGGCTGTGTGCATAGCCTGCATAGGGCATGAGAAAACAGCAGCCCACGTTTTTTTTACTTGAATGTTTAGTGGTTGTCAATTACAGAGCTAAGTACTTAGGATCACTGTTGTCTCTCCAAGAAATCTTTGGTAATGTAAAGAAATTATGTACTAAAATTCTTCTAAGAGTTCGGGGGGCACAAATAATATTTCATTTCTGGCCACACACAAAATACGCACTTAGATGTGATTTAGCAGACACCAGTCCGGCTCAATCAACCAATCATCAAACAATGCCCATCTCCTAATTTAGTTTCCCTCTGTAGACTCGGACAACAACAATGAGACAATATAAGGTAGTGGATAATCTTTCACTGTTATACATGGTTGACAAGTGCACGTATATTTATATTTTATATGCATTTATAATATTTTATTTTACCTACCTAGCATGTACTAATGTTTCACGTGCCACACGTGCTAATACATCAGCTGTTTCTACAAAGAGAAGGGCTTGTTTATCCAAAAACCCCATTATATGTGCTGATCGGTCTACTTTGGTAGCACTACTTGCCCATTTTACGAGGGCCAACAGACGTACAAAAAGCTGCCTTGTCCTTGCACTAAATTTATAAATTTCAATTTTTCTTTCCATGTCAGTTTTCCGAGGCAATCTAAAATAAAAAGTTATGGGTTAATTTATCTTTTTTTTTTAAATATTACCTCATATATCTAATTATTACAGTAACTATACTCACAATTCAGCCAGTACTGTAAGTTCATCGTAAGTTCTTTGTACAATGAAGTCTATCAACAAAGCTAATGAAATAGAACCGCCACGGGCACCTCCACCTTCGGCGCCCTGGTTACAACCTTCAATAGCAACTGGTACCATCTTGTTGGAAGCTAAGGTACTGTTTTGGTTAATTTATTAACAATAAAACAATTACATTTCTGATGTCATTTAATTTCTTTAAATTATAAGATAAATCACTTTGAAAACAATTTCATTAATAAATGTTTATTTGTCGATTTATCTACAACATACAACATAGAACCACAAATTAACCACATAACCATAGATAAAGCTAAAACCTTCCCTATATATAATGTACTCTGTGCCTAAAACTAACTAGAAACACAAACTATATTTTAATTTTTTGTTGTTATTATTAATCCGCTAATTAAGGCAGGCAAAGGTCCTATACCATACAACCTTATCTCGTATGTTTTATTCCCTTTAATTTTTAACCTATTTCAAAAAAAGACGAATTTAGCAAAACTTTATTATAGATGAACCGATTTTGATGATTCTTTTTTATTTGAAAGTTAGTACTTGTCATGTGGTCCCGTATAAATTTGAACAAGATCTGAAGATCACCTTTTGAGAAATCTATAATAAAGCGATTTTAATTGACTTCGACGATATTGCTGATGTTCTCATTCTGTTTATGTTGAAGTCGGTTGTACAAATTTTTTAAATAAAATATTTTTGTTGTTATTATTACGATTCACCCAGAAGATTAACTCGTCATTTCATGGCAAGCCTATTCATAATATATTAAGCACGGAATAAGTTTTAATTTCGATAACTCTAAAAATTCAGGATTCACGGCCTAGAAAATGACGTACTTTTTAATGACGCTGCTTCCTTTCCACAGTTGCCATAAAATAATAATTTTGTGTGGTGGTAATTACAAAACTTCGGAATATAAACATTCACCTCCAAAGTGTAATGCCAATTGCACAGGCTTTCAAAATTCACGAAGTTTATTATATAAATAATTATATTGTGAGTTTTTCGGTTTATAATTTAAAAATGAGGCAACAGTTAAGGTACATTCAATTAAATGACATTTAAAAAGGAAAATAAAAGTTACACGCTACTGATGACACGGACCAGGTTTTACGACCAATATCACTTTAATTTGTAGAATTATAGATTTTTTTGAATAAATTTGTAATTCTTATTGAAAGTCATTTTTTACTTTACCACTGGTTCGAAAAAAAAACCTCTGTCCTGGGAAGAACCATCAAGAAACCCAGCTGGACTTTTTTTTAAAGTAAATTTTACATGAATGATTGTACAAACCATTTTCAAAATTTATTTTATAAACAGCCTGGAAGCGACCACCTAATACCCATTATTATCAACTATGTATTAGTTAGTATAATAACAAATTTGACATGTGACATTGTGACATTATGCTATGGAAATAACAGAAATAAAATAATTTAGCTGTCTCGCCACTAGTGAGACCTCTAATATTTTTTACAGCATACGCTGCAAAACTTAGTCTGCTTGCTAGTTTAGATATATGCGGGCCCCACTGAAGCATTGCGTCGAGTTATGCCAATAATAACAGTTCATTCAAGAGGGCTCAGTTCTTCCTTATTTAAAAACATATTGGTATTAAAATTTTTAACATTCGATGTTGTATATTAAATATATTTAGTTTTATTTCCGTTTATATGTAGATTATTACGTTGATTACTTCTATTGGCGTCGCGTTAAAAAATTGTGACTTTTACTCTTAATTGTGGTTTATTTGTGAGTTTTTGGTTTAAAATGGTTCAAAATTGTGTTCTATATGGCTGTAAAAGCGAATAATACCCAGGTTGTGGCAAATTTTTCCACAGGTAAGAGAATTCTGTTTTAGAGGGTCGTGAACTTTATGGACGTTCCATGTGGTTTATACATAGATAAGGCCTATATATAAAAAGGTACGAAAGAGCCTGATAAATTATGAAGTCAAACTTCATTGCTGTTGCGTTATCCATACCCTGATCTAATTAGACGTAATAAAAAAGCTGTCAATGTTGATTTGTTTTGTAAACAAAATACAAATCAGGATAGGCTGTGTGGCTTAAGACTTTTGCCTGCCTTAATTGGCAAAACAACGAACAAGCAGATGTCAACTGTCAGTCAATTAGCTGTCTGTCAATGTCAAGCTGTCAACTGTTGTAAGCTGTGAAAATGGATTGTTGTCTTTATAATTCCAAGGATATTTATATGTGACTCAACAAAGTGTTAAAAGATATAAAAGACCGTAGAAAAATATCAAACAACTTATGTTTCGTTCGTGTAACGTTCGTTTTATTTGAATTTTTCACATCATTTTCGTGGTGGCTGCCGAATAAATTTTATGAAAAATTATCTGTTTGTGTATTGTATACGCGTTTAAATATTTATAAAGGTACTGTATACAGCAGATGAACTTTTTTTCTATATTACTAAGGCAAGGTTTAACCTTTGGAAACAGTATAAATTTACGTGAAGCGCGTGCGCGTTTTCGTCGAATTCAAATTGTGAATATGGGTTTGCTAACTGAGGGAAGCCCTCTATCATGGGACGAAACGAAGGCATTGGCAGAACACGTTCGTCAGCATGGTATAGAACAATTTATAAACTTATACCGAAAACTTCGTGACCGTACTGGAGATGTGCTGAAATGGGGAGATGAAGTAAGTTATCAAAATTTTTATTCTTGCCTTTTACTGGCGTGTATATATTGTTATAATAATTAAAGTTTATTTTAATTTATAAACAAATTCATAAAAATTTGTTTTATAGGTGGAATACATCATAGTAAAATTTGATGATGAAAATGAACGTGCTACAGTCAGTTTGAGAGCTGATGAACTTTTACCGAAATTACAAGAGAAGGAGCATGCAGATCCACAGAGTAATATTTTTCAGTCTTATTTTTTAAAGTTCATAATAATTTTTTTTATAGGATAAAGGTGAAAAGCGAGCACACAGTTCACTTGATAAGTGGTTGCTGTAGCCCATAAACATCTACATCTATCCTTGTTTGCAAATCAAAATGCAGATGCATGGTCAGCTGTGAGAACTAATATGGCATGGCTCTTTTCCAGTAAAAAGGGTCTCTGGTTCTCTACACTCACCATACAAATCACAGCAGCATTAAGCTGCTATTTTATGCTGGAATTCTGTGATAGCGTGGTCCTTCTCCGGTCGAGCCGACTCATTTGTGCTACAATTATACAATTAATATAACTGCAGCATGGCTCAGCCATGTTTAAGATCAATAAAACATAACAATAAAAAAAAATTGCAATTATATCATCATTATCATTACAGTTTATCATAAGTCCGTGCTGGACATAGGCTTCTTTCTTAGATTGCTATAAAGAATGGTCCTGAGCTACCTGCTACTATCAACTCCTATTTCATCAGATAGGCTAATGGTTCTTCCAGCTATATAGCCAACCCAGCTCAGCTATATCAGTCACTCTTACTCTTCCATGTTTATCCTTGTATTTTATCAAGCATAGAAATCTCAAGGACAACCTTGTCTATATATCACTTAGTGACTTTGAGCTTCTTAATTTGATCAACAGTCAAGGACCATATTTCAGTTGCTTAAGTCGTCACTGGCAACATACATTTTATATGTACACTTTTCTTTTATGTTTGTGATATATTTGAAAAGAAGATTTGTCACAGTTTTCCAAAAGCAGCCCAATCAAGTTGGGTTCATCAGTTGACCTCATGCTCAAAATTGCTCTTACCTAATTGGACATTTTGTTATAAGTACATATACTCGTTAATAACTGTTTTTTTATATTATTTTACTTATGTCATTTACATAGCTACAAAATAAATGACTAGAGCATTGCTTAAATTCCTACAGATTTTTTTAATTGCACATAAATGGTGAAATAATTAAGTTATATATCCAGAATTTACTAAATTTGGAAAACTTTTGGAAAATTAATTTTGGTTAATCTAACCCACTAGAAATTATATTGAGAATACATAATACTCTAGTTACTAGATTAAACCTATATCTATAATTATTTTATAACTTTCAAGTCATTACAATGATGATGTCAACATTAATTTCATTTGTCTCTCAAGACTTGTGCAATATTGCAATACATGTACAAAGAGTATTATTTAACATGCTTATTGTTTCATAGACATTCATTTTGTACATTTTAGTTGATCTACCCTACTTCAAATTATATTGTGAATATGTAATACACTAGTTACTAGATTACACCTATATCTACAATTATTTATTTATTAGTCATTACAGTGATGATGTCAACATTAATTTTATATGTCTCTCAAGATTTGTTGTGCAATATTGCAATTCATATATGTACAGAGAGTATTAATCAACATAAATAATTGAGTTTTATATTTTGTATAACCCTCTTTATTTTTATACATGAGGCATAATAATCACAGTAGTTTTATTGGTCTCTATTGTTAAGTGATGTGAAGTAAAAAACTATAAATTGTAAAACAAACAAAAATTAAAGTCAATTATAGTGAATTGAGTACAAATAAGGAAATCTCATGTTACTTGTTGGCTAAACAAATCATCAATTGTCTTTTGTTTGATAATATGTTTCATGTATGGAATTATACACTGTTAATATCTGGATCAAGTATGTAAATGGAAAGTTTGGTTTTAGATGTAAAATCATTATGGCGTCCAGAATATGGGGCTTATATGATTGAAGGTACTCCAGGAAAGCCTTATGGTGGTTTATTAGCACACTTCAACATTGTGGAGGCTAACATGCAATATCGTAGAGCAGAGGCCAGTATGTTATTGAAAAGTGGAGAAGTAATAATGAGCATCACCAACTTTCCAAGGTTCAAAGTTAAATATATTCTGAAATTAAATAGATTAATATTACATCTTTACCTATGAAATGGCCATTATTTATGAAATAAGTTAACATATTTTTTTTTCTATATTTTTTTATTTCTATTAATCCTTACCCATGCTGTTGAATCATCTTTGCCCACGCAGTGGCAGTTTATTGATGCCCTTGATGAAATCGGCTGGACCAACAGTCCAGGGAGGCAACAAATTCTTCAAAGGCATTTTGTACTGCCTCTCAGGTATTAAATTTTTTTCCCGCCAAGTACCATCCAAATTCTGGAAATAGTAGAAGTCTGTAAGTGCAGGATCTAGTGAGTACAGTGGATGACGGAGAGCTTCCGACCACAGCTCTTGTCACTTGGAGAATGACTGTTGTACAGGAGCAGCGGGGACGAGCTATTGACCAAAGCTGATTGGAGACGTGCAAGTTTTTCAATTATTGTTTTCTGTTTTTTACAGTACACATCTGCAGTAAAGCTCATCCCGTTTAGTAAGAAGCTGTGATGAATCACAACGGTGCTAGACCACCAAACCATCATTTTTTTAGGTGTAAGTTTTGTTAAGGGCATTGTTTAAGTACTGAACCAGGATCCAACCAACTTGCTTGCAATTATTTAACATTTTTCGTCGTAGGTAACAATGCGGTTTAAAATTCCTTCGTTTGTGTGCCTGCTGAGCAGTGCAAGTTACGTCTCGACGCGTACTTCGCGCTGGCGATCATTGAGTTCGTGGCGACCATTTGTTAAGCTTTTCTACCCTGCTAATTTAATGCAAATGGATCAATATTGTTTTGATGCTAACATCGAAAGCTGCTGCTAATTCAGCCGTAGACTGAGTATCATCAGCTTCCACAATCGCTTTTAATTCGTAATTGTCGACCAATGTTTTCGGACGACCACAGGGTTAATTTTTTGGATCAAAATTTCCAGAACGGAAGCGGCCAAACCAATAACAGGTGGTGCGTTCGTTTGTAGTATTCGCTTCGTATACTTTTTTGATGTTGCGTGCCACTTGTGTCGCGTTGCTGCCACGACGGAACTTATATTCCATAATTACTCGAATTTTTAACATATCCATTATGAAGAAATAGATTCAAATGCGATGAAAATTTTAGACTTATTTTTAAAAAAGAATTTTATGTTTTTATAATATTTTGATTTCAATTGGCCACTACTGCAGAACGACAGTTTCATAGGTAAAGACCTATTATATCAATAATTTAAATGTAACTTATTCATTTACAGATTAGGATGTCCAAACTTTACCAGTCCACCATACAAACCAAACCCTAAAAAGGGAGTGACATTATCACATTATTTCCCAGATGAAGCAATTTTCCCAGGACATCCTCGTTTTAAAACACTAACTTCAAATATTCGGAAAAGAAGAGGACAGAAAGTTGCTATCAATTTACCAAGTAAGTAGAGACTAGAAAAAGTTTTCTGACTTAAACTTAGTCATTGGGATATTACTGTATGCACAGACAACCAATGATTTTAGCAAATGACAGGCATAGCAAGCAAGGCAAGCTGTTTCAAATTATTCTAATGCACATGTGTGTACTTTTGTTATACCCATTATAAACAACAAAGCAAAACATATGGTTCCAATGCATGGTATGTCAACAACAAAAGGATGGATACCCACCAAATATCTGGTTGTCTGATTGAAGGTTTCTTATAAAATACAAACTAGCAAAAATCTTTAGAAATCTTAAGAATTAGAATTTCAAGAAGTTAAAAACAAAATAAATAATGTGTAATCTATAAAGAGCTTAGGGGTAAGAACTCACAATTAACTTCACATGTGAATCCCACCAATATAACATAGGTTAGTGTAGCAAACCAATTATTTCATCCAACTTCAAGCCTGTGCTCAGCAGTGGGCCAAACATTGTTTTTAAATTGTGTCGAATGTATTTAAAAATATCTCATAATCCATAGTTTTTATTAAAAAATGCTTTTTGCTTTCTAGTATTTAGGGATGTAAATACAAAAATACCTGTGGACAATTCACATATACTGGAACCAGGTGTAGCTGAACCTGATTGTGTTTACATGGATGCTATGGGCTTTGGTATGGGATGCTGTTGTTTGCAGCTCACTTTTCAAGCATGTTGCATTACAGAAGCACGCACACTCTACGATCAGCTTGCACCATTATGTCCGATTATGGTGAGTAAACTATTATAGTGTTATAGTTTAATGAGTCTTTGGCGAAGTTATCACTAATTACAACACAATTACATGTATAAACACTGTGTAGCGGTGGTGTAAGAAATGTATATTACATTACCCCTTATAGTCACATAGGTGTCGTAAAAGGCGACAGAGGGAAACTGAAAAAGGTGATAGGATGCAGCACATTCCTGATGACAACTCAAAATTATAAAATACTGTGGTTGCCAACCTGCCTGCCAAGTGTGGCAACTATATCAAAATCCCGCCTATGAGCAATTCATGGGGGAGGCCTATGTTCAGCTTTGAACTTTTATAGTTTGTAATAGATGAGTTACTGCATAAAGATGGTTATAATTTTTACACCAAGGCACACGACAAAATTTATTATGCCGTGTAGTAGAAGAGGTTTAAGTGAAAAGAGAAAAATAAAAAACAGCTGTTGCAAACTCGCCTGCTTAGAGTAACAACCATGGCAGGCTGCTACTATACGGTTTATCAGTAACTTTTTTTTTAATAGGATAAGGGTGACAAACGAGCACAGAGTCCACCTGATGGTAAGTGGCTGCTGCGGCCCATAGACATCTACATCTATCCTCGTTTGCGAATCAAAATGCAGATGCGTTGTCACCCGTGAGGACTAAGATGGAATGCTTCATTTCCAGTAAAAAGGGCCTCCGGCCACCTGCACTCACCAAGCGAAACGCAGAGGTAAACCTTTACTTCACGCTGGTATTCTGTGAGGTCGTGGTACCACCCTGGTTCGAGCCGGCCCATCCGTGCGACAGCAAAAGCTGCCGCGTGGGTCTACCACTGTTAAATGTAACTGTATATAAATATAAATAATTATTTGTTTATACTATATTGTAACTGATTTTTGTGTTTATCTAAATAAGCTTGCGCTGTCTGCCGCCTCGCCAATCTACCGCGGCTTCTTAACTGACGTTGATTGCCGCTGGAATGTCATCGCTGCGTCAGTAGATTGCCGTACTAAGGAGGAACGTGGCCTCGAGGCACTCAAAACCAACAAGTTCCGTATTCACAAGTCGAGATATGACTCCATCGATTCATATCTATCACCGGATCATGAAAAGTAAGGACAATTTTATTGTAATTATTTTTTTCACACACACACACACGGCCTTCCACTTTTTTTATAGTATGAGGGTGACAAACGACCACACAGTCCACCTGATGGTAAGTGGCTGCTGTGTGGCCCATAGACATCTACATCTATCTTCGAAATTAAAATGCAGATGCGTTGTCAGCCGTGAGGACTAAGATAGAATGCCTCTTTTCCAGTAAAATGGGTCTCCAGTTCTCTACACTCACCATACGAAACACAGCAGAATTAAGCTGCTGTTTTACGCTGGTATTCTGAAAGAGCGTGGTCCTTCCCCGGTCGAGCCGACCCATTCGTGCTACAACTATACTATTAATATAGCTGCAGCATGGCTCTACCACGTAAAAACTTACGTATATGCCGTGAAACAAAATTATCTAAAATCTTTACATTAATGTTTTAGTATATAATTTTAGTAAAAATGGAAACAAATGCATGTAGTAAAGTAAAGTTACAACATATATAAAACCTCACACTGCTGGGCACATGCCTCCTCTCATTTCTGAGATGGTTTTAGGTAAGGAAATGTCCGCCGCGCTGCCCAATTGCGTGTTGGCGAATTCGCATGTCTTTGAAATATTTTTTTTATTATTTCTCAGACATGCATATTACTTCACGATGTTTTCCTTCACCGCCGAGCACGTGGTAAATCAGCACTTAAAATTGCAATTAACTATTTATTTAGCTATGAAATACCACGGCCTGTAGATTGTTATTAACGGCCTTATAATCGTTGATAATTGTCATTTAGTGAAGAGAGAGAGCAACTTTTTACATTACTTAGATTGACGTCAATTCTTATTAATAAGTCCGTATATTCTTTTCTAAGCACTCTGCACACTTGACTTTATCACATTACGCACACTATGACCGACACTAGTACTATAAATGCGCTAGTAACTCTGTCTTGTCTGTTTACTAAGTCGTCACGATTAAACCACTGGACCAATTGTAATAGAATTTGATAAAGAGGTAGCAAATGTCCGGTGGGGGTTCGGTTGCCACCTAAGACGATTGGATCTGGCAACAAACAACGCACGCACCCTTAGGACTGACGAAAAGATTCTGGAGCTGGAAGAAGACATAGACAAGTTGCGCTGGGATATTATAGAATTATCTGAGGTTCGAAGAGAGGAGGAGGACAAGGAAATCCACGAATCCGGCAACTTGTTCTACCGGGAGGGCGACCATCTGTCCCAAGGTGGTGTCGGATTTATCGTCCACAAGTCTCTCGTTAACAACATAGTAAAGATTGCTAATGTGTCGACGAGGGTTGCGTACCTTATACTCAGAATCACTAAACAATATTTGTTGAAGGTCATACGAGTTTACGTACCAACCTCGGCACATCCCGATGAGGAGGTGGAAGAAATGTATGAGGATATCTCTAAAGCCATGCATTCCTCCAAAACCCACTATACGGTGTTAATGGGAGACTTCAATGCAAAACTAGGCACAAGAGAACGGTGAGCTGAAAGTAGGGAAATTTGGAATAGGGCAACGGAACCCAAGGGGCCAGCAGCTGGCTGACTTCATGGAGAAAGAGGGACTCTTTATGAGAAAGATATCTCTTTCTTCCAGAAGCGGCCCCGCAGGAAGTGGACCTAGTCAAGACCCGACGTTTCGACAAAAAATGAGATTGACTTCATTATAACGACCAGAAGACAATTGTTCAGTGATGTCTCAGTGATCGCGAGGGTGAAAAATGATAGCGATCACCGAGACATGGTTAGAGGCACACTGAACCTAAACGTTAAGTTTGAGAGGTCTCGTCTAATAAAGTCAACCTTTCAGCTCGAGTTACAAAACCGTTTTCAGTGCCTAGAAGATTGCAATGCAGTGGACGATATAAATGACAAGCTCTTGGAAACTGTCCATGCGGTCGGAGCTAAGTTTTGTAAGACCCGCCGCAGAAGAACACAAAAACTCTCCGATTACACTCTTAATTTCATGGCTGTTTGACGGGAAATGAAGCTGCAGTCTTCAACAGATTTGACAGCATACAGGCAACTGTACAAACAGATCTCCAAATGCATGCGGCGGGACTTACACAACTTTAACTTTAATATTGCCCATATTGAAGAAGCGATCGATCGGAACTATGGCTCCAAAGTCTTTGACAGAGATCTATCTGCCAGAAAGAGCCAACTGTCGAAGCTGAAGACCGAATGTGGCAGCATCTTTTCCGGGACACCTGAGATTTTGAGTGAGATTGAGAGGTTCTATGGGCAGCTGTACACGTCATCGTTGGAGCCACACGCAGTAGTGTAACGATTCAAGGACAAGTCTTATCCGACACTATTCCGATGATGTCCCGGACGTCAGTCTGAGCGAGATTAAAATGTTTCTCTAGTACATTAAAAACAGCAAGTCCCCGGGCGAGGATGTAATTACAGCGGAGCTTCTGAAAGCTGGTGGAAACCAGTACTTGAAGCCTTTAAGAAGCTCTTTAATTCCGTCCTCCATGTTGGTACTACTCCGGAGGCGTAGAGCAGAAATACGGTGGTCTTATTCTTCAAGAAAGACGACAATGCTCTCTTAAAGAACTACAGTCCAATTTCCCTTCTGAGCCGCGTCTACGTGCTGTTTTTAACTTTAGAGCGTGCAAAAGGTGTTCTAAATTAGAGATTTTATCTTCAAGTTTGCGAATGTAGGCATGATCTTCTTTTCTCTCAGCTAGTAGCGCCTGGAACTTATCAGTTAGATTATCGTACTGACGTGATATGAAGGTCAGCGAATCCATGATCTCAGAATTTTGAGAGACTACTTCCTTAATGCTGGACTCTAAGGACGATATTTTTTGTTGATTTTGCGAGTTAGCGGTTGATAACATCTCTTTCATCTCCTTCATGAAGTTATGTAACTCTAAATTATCATTTTTCGTTTAGTAATAACGAAACTGTCATCGAAATTAGATATGTTTGTCTCTAATTTTGATTGTTTGGGTTTTGGCGTAGCGGGGACTTCTAGCGTAGGTCTACTATTTTTATTAGCAAGATGAGTCTTCGGTGGCGTTCGTTTAAGCGGCATAGTGTAATTTTTATGAAGCAAAGTTCAGTAAGGCTTGAATCAACTAAATGTAAACATAAAATATTAGCGAATAGCGAATAACGAGAGAGACGGATAAATATTCAGTTGAGATGCACAATGCGGAGTTGACAAGCCTCCGCAAGCGGTGCTCCAGCCCAAGAGAGCGTCGTTAACGGAAGCCAATGACAGCGCGATAAATTAGCAATAGAAGCGCTTACAAATATGTTTGTCTCACTCACCAGGCTCTTTCTAGTATCTCAACACCACAAACTTCTGCAGTCCTATTATTTAGCGTAAAATTAAGTGACTTAAAATTTAAATGCTTTTTGTTCAATAAACTAACGACACGACCGCACTGAACGTAGTCCAGGGGGAGAAGGTGTTTATAATATAGAGATAATTATTGATAATATAGAGAGGTTCGTGTAATCAAACATTTAATTTAGGATTCTTTTAATAGTAACATTTTTCGTAATATTACATACAGGTACAATGACATTCCCATAGTGCACGACCCAGCGATCTACAGGCGGTTGCGCGAGGGTGGCATTGACCATCCATTGGCGTTGCACGTCGCCCACCTTTTTATACGCGATACCGTTTCCCTCTTCACCGAGAAAGTCAACCAAGATGATGAAAATGATACCGATCATTTTGAAGTATGTATTACATTTCAATATTTTTTTTTCATCTAAAAAGTAAACATAATATTTAGATAAGTATATAAGAGTAAAGCTTTTGTTTTCAGTCTCACATGTTCTTTTATACGTGGTAGAGCCACGCTGCAGCTATATTATCGTTGTAGCACGAATGGGACGGCTCGACCGGGGCAGGACCACGCTCTCACAGAATACCCGCGTAAAATAGCTGCTGTGTTTCGTATAGTAAGTGTAGAGAACCGGAGACCATTTTACTGGAAATTTGGTAATCCATCTTAGTCCTCAGGGGTAACAACGCATCTGAATTTTAATTCTTAATCGATGATAAATGTAGATGTCTACGGGCTACAGCGTCCACTGACCATCCGGTGGACTATGTGCTCGTTTGTCACCTATATTCTAAAAAACAACCTTATATCATTAACTAACTTCCACTAATCATCTGGGGCTTCTAAACAACTGAGATAATGTAACACTGAGATAATGTATGAATCGAGGTTGGCTTCATTTTGACGTTTGATTTCGATTTACCTGTCAATGTATCAGTATCGATTACAAGCCGATGTATTGTATTTTTTAATTTTATCTTAGGTTACACAATATTTTCATACACAGAAAATGTAACACAGTTACAGAATGATTCTCATCAACGAACGATTCCCACAAGAGGTCTACAGGTCTTGTTCTAAGCCAAAAGTTGTCACTGACCGGTTGAGACCTCGTTACATATTGATTTTGTGAAGTGAGAAAAATTCAAAAACTGTTTAAACATTAATTTTAATACTTCAAGCTTTCACATTACACACACACACATTTGACATTTGTTAAATTTACAATATCTAAACTTACAGTATCAACGGTAAACTATTGAGCGTTAGATTCTTCTCCCCAAAAATAATTTAATTTCTCAGAGTACATATGTCGTAAGTTAGTATTCGTTAAGCATCAAAAATGTTCAAGCTAGAGATATAAATTATATTTTAATAATAGACTACTTGCATGAAGTTGTTATTAATTAGATACTAATTTGTTAAGTAACAGAGCTCAATAATATGTATGTCGCAGGTTTATGATAAAACCAGGTTTTTTATCAAAAACCTAGGCTTTTGATCAAGAACTGGAAGAAGGCAAAATTATTACTTAATCTTATAATTAACCTAAAAAAATCTTGTTTTTTGATTCAAAACTTGAGTTTATGATAAAATTTATACACTGACTACCCCTCTTGTTAGTAGAACATACGTATTGCAGAAACTTATCTACAATTTGTATTAAACTAACACTATGAGCCTTCTAAAACTATATTGATTTATAAGGGAGCGACAAAATTGTTACTTTATTTTAAATTGCAGAACATCCAGTCGACGAACTGGCAGACGATGAGGTTCAAACCGCCTCCGCCCAACTCGTCGATCGGCTGGCGCGTGGAGTTCCGCCCTTGCGAAGCACAACTCACTGACTTCGAAAACGCCGCATACGTGTGTTTTGTTGTACTTCTCACGCGCGTCATACTCTCTTACCGCCTCAACTTTGTCATGCCGATTAGCAAGGTATGTTTTAAATCTTTGTATGTAGTATGAAATTAATTTATTTTGTTACAATTCTTCCGTGGTGTATATACATAAGATACTTGACTACCTACTACTTTTGGAGAAAATTCATCAACTTAATCAACATATAGGTTGATAGCAAGGGAGTGGAGATTTTAGCATTATTCTTCTAATACTTACGTGCTAATTTTTAAAGTTTTACATTTCTACGAATAGGTGCGAAGGTTAATTTGTTTCTCAATAAATTAATCCCACCATACTGTAATTTGTTCATCCTTGTCATACAATAAAACGTGGTTTCCTGTGGCGATGGTAAAACTTGGTGAAGGTGAAAAATCATGGTGGTTTTAGTCAAATAACCTGTCCTAACTTCCGCTTAGCGGGAAGGCGTAGGCAAGTCAGTGCTGACTCGGTTACGGTATCAGTGAAACGTAGACTAGCCATTACTTGAAATTAACGTATTTTGGGGTTGTTATAAACTCTCGAGAATGGTATGTCGTGCCTTGTGTGGTGGTGCTGGAGGGTGGTAGTGCTGGGATTAACGGCGACGGGTATAGTGCGCGCGATTGAGGGAGGGTGGGAGGTCCCCTAAAAACTGGGCAGGACACATCAGTTTCTTTCTTTACGCGGAATTAAGCAAATTAGTTTATAACGACCCCATTATAATGGATTTCCGCCGCAAAGTAACGCCTGATTCTATCAATTATATTAAGGTATTTTTAAAGACGTAAAAGAAGTTTAAGTGTAATTGCGTTTTAACATGTTATTGGGCAAATCCAGGTCAGTCTCTTAGTTGAAACTGACGTTAATTGATTGACCTAAATTACCGACCTTCCCGACTTGATACCATAGGCTTCACTTCACATGTATGAGAGTCTTTATGTTTCTAAGATAAGAATTTAATTCAAAACGTTGTTGAAATTATTCGAGTGTTAAATTTATTACTATTCTCAAGTGGGTAGGCGATAAAGCACAGCACTTGAATCACAGATTAAGGTGAAACATACGGTCTGTTCTCGGCTATTTTCCCGCGAGATGGCGCTGAAGTCATAATTTTTTAGTTTTATTTGGGTTTTTGTGTAATTGCAACATTAGAAAGTCGTAGAAATAGCTACCGCGGTACTCGGACATTATACTTTATTGTACTAGGTCATATCATTGCCTCAAAATCCACACAATTACACACAAAGCCCTAAACTAACATCTGTCATTGAACATAGTGTCGTTTACACTCGCAGACGTGGGTGAATTCCTAGTCCCTACGTTTACGAAGATTGAACACTAGATGGCGCGAATGAAAAAAATGTTTTCCTTTTTTCTGTATGGGGTAGGCAGAACTACAGAACGCCATCTGCTGCGATATATATTATGTACGGTTCATCATCTGCTTAGCCTTTTTCCCAACTATATTGGGGTCGGCTCTCAGTCAAACTCTATTCAGCTGAATAACCAGTATTTTACGATTATGTTATAAAAATAAAAGTTATATTTGTTGGTTTAAACTATTTAATTCAATAATAATCTTAAGAAATGAATTATGTCAACATTAAGAACAATAAAACGCAGTTTTATTTTATTACCTTCATTACAGCCCTTCACAAGTCCACTGCTGAACATAGGCCTTCCCCAAAGAATGCCACAAAGCACGGTCCTGAGCCACCTGCATCCATCGACTTCCTGCATATCTTACCAGGTCGTCACTCCATCTAGTGGGGGGACGCCCTACACTTCGCCCGCCGGTACGAGGCTGCCACTCGAGAACCTTTCTTCCCCATCGGTTGTCGGTTCTTCGAGCTATATGGCCGGCCCATTGCCACTTCAGCTTACTAATCCGTTGGGCTATGTCGGTCACTCTAGTTGTACTGCGGATATCCTCATTTCTGAGTTTATCACGCAGAGAAACTCCGAGCATAGCCCTCTCCATAGCTCGCTGAGCGACCTTGAGCTTCCTCATCCGGCCAGCATTTATTACCTTACACTATTGAAATTATTGATCACAACAAGTATTTGAAATAACACGTCTGACACATGCATATTTACTGAAAACTAATAACACAGATGATTTGCAACATAACCAATTACTACAAAAATTTTACATTAGTACATAACACGTAAGGAACTGTTCATAAACAAGAGATAACAAATCTAAAACACGATTTAGTATGCGATAATAAGCAGGTAGGTGAAAAAATATTTCCTAATTTCAAAGCATTCACAACTACAAAAGCTTTTAGTAAAACAAAAATCTAAAGAGCAGCTTATTGAATTGAGCAGGTGGTTATACCCACGATGAAAATACAAAGAGGATATGGCATAAGCAACTGTGCAACTGTGATTCTAACTAGGTCCTGGCGTCATCACGGTGGGCGTGGTTTTACTTAGTATACTGTCAGCAATCGTCCTGTGTGCTTATGTGTCGAAAATTGCAAATTGGAGTATTTTCGTAGTATTAAGAATAAAAGCATGAAGCGTTGCGTTTTATCGTGTAAAAACTAGCCAGATAGACGCTCTCGTGCTATGGATGGCATCACATTTCATTTATAAGTAATTTTATAACTAATTTATTAAAAAGGCTCTATAAAATCTCTCCCTCGGTTTTCAAATCTAAATAAATATATTCGACACTAGATGGCGACACTGTGTGTAATGGAACTAAAAATATAAAGGTACGTAGAGTACGTGTTGAAATTTGTTTTGTATTCAGTCCTAAATAATTTTTAATCGCCATAATATTATTTTTATAGTTTTTATATTTATTTTGTGAACAGGCCGCCATCTATCGTCTAATATCTATATGGAACGTTGCGAGTAGTTTTACTATTTATCGGTAGATGGAAAATGGTAAAGTGGGTGGGGCTTAACATCCCCTCATCCCGCAAATTGTCACGCGTTGTTACATAGTGAAATCTAAATACAAAACCTCCTCTTTGAATTTGCTCCGTGGTTATACCTACCGAATGAAGTATTATTTCACGCTTTGATTTTATAGTAAATACATTTATATTATATATAAGCCACAATTAGATATTTTGTGACAAAAAAAAATGAAAATTAAAAAGTAATTTATGAGCGTCATTATTAGGCATGGCATATTTATCCTTACGAACGAAATTTACTTTATCATCAAGACAATTTTATGAAGATAAGCTTTATTCTTTATACCATGTTATTTGGACGCATAGTTTAAGAGATAATGTAAAATTAAAATAATTCAATACTTGGCTTGACGCGCGAACAATGCATAAACCCTAGCCGCCCGGTGAGAACTGAGTGAAGCCAGTATTGAAAGCTTCTTTCTATAAGCGAGGTTAGTTCAATCATTAGAGCTAAAATAAATTCAAAATTAATTGAGTACTTTTATCTATCTCCCGGGTGAACGTAACAATGATTAGTTACATCTTTATTTCTGAACTCTTTTATTTCACGTTGCTATGGTATTTTCAAAGTTTATTTGATTAATAAGTATAAGAGGTTGATAGCAAATTTATCAAGAATCATTTTATGCCTACACACTTTTCATGTTTTTCTTTAAAACTGGAAAAAACCGCGCTTCGGTAAACTTTCTGGGACGTGTGGGGGGATGGGAGGACGCTCTACCGAGAGGGGAGGGAAAGTGGATAAAACTTAACTTCGCTCTACATCATACATAATATGCCGACAGATAAAATAAAAGTACTGCATTAATTATGCCAATTTCTCCATACATTACTATCAAATAAAATATTTGATTGCAATTATAAAATGCTTGAACTAGATGTCATGTCATGCAGCGCATCTCAGACATCTGATGACGCGGGTGAAACCGCGGGCCACAGCTAATAGTTTAATATTTATAATTATTTTATTAATAAATAAATAATTATTAATCTAATAACCATAATAAAACAAACTAAATACATAACCATTATTTTCATCTGTTATCCAAGGACCAATCAAAAAAAAATCCAGGACCGTAACAAACGATACGATGCGACCTTGGACTTGGTAATACAACAAAATAAAACAAACTAATAATAATGTGTTTAAAAGAAATATTCAAAAAACATATTAAACACTGAGTTTGTAGTTTTGTACTCAACACCGACACGTTTGACGTAGGTAATTAGTATTGTGACGAGATTTGGAATCACGGGCTAACTCACGGAATATAAAAAACAAGAGGAAGTAGCAAAACGCATAATTTGTAGCGAAACCACTGTCGCCAAACTCACGCATGCACAAGAAAGAAATGTGTATCAACAATTGTGTACCATTTCAATAATTTTCGCGTGATTGGTTATTTAAAAATAAAAGAGAAAGGCATTATGTTACTCACCATTCATTTGAGCATGAACAATAAGTCCTGAAGAATAGAGATTATATTCCTTTTCATCAACGAAATTTTATAATTAATGAGCAAACTTAGCTTCTTAACGTTAGATATCGCAATAATAAATTCACGCTATTAGAGACATAATGACAATAGATATAACGTTGACATTGCCCTACCCATGTCCTAACTAACCTGTACTGCTACGCGAATGATGTTAGTGATGTAGTTACTCTGCCTGAACATGATCTGGCTTATATCGACATTCAGTATACGATTATTATCATGTATATGAATTGACTGAAGAAACAAAATTGAAAAAAATAACAATATATGATTAAATGAGTAAAATAGCAAAATTTAATGGAAATTGCCATAATGTACCACGTATATCCCTGTAATTCATATAGCCGGCATATAATTAATTGTATTTAAAGAAAATTTATTTACAATAAGCTAAATTATCATTTTTGAAATGGAAACAAGGAGAATAATAAAAAACAATAATTTAGCAATTATTTATTGTCATTGAAATAACACATATGTGTTTAAAAATTATGGTGTTCACACTTTAATATAAAATTTTAGATGTAGATGAAAATTTTAGATGATGTGTGTTACCAATGTAGATCATGATATTAAGATCACTTTTATTTCAGCTTTTTAGCAACCCTAACAAATGTTCATTCGTAGGCTTCACCCTACAATTTCGTATATTTTCAAAGACATCCAGCATTTGCAAATTTTCATTAATATGTTAGTGAATAAACAGTATTGTGATAACATTTTATCGAAAACTTTGATGTCGGCGTAGTTACAGCACTATCTATTTTGAGCTATTTTATTCAAAACGTATTTACAGCTGAACCTTATCTTAACGAAATAAGGTTGAATATTGCTTGTAATAACGGCAATTTGACATTTTGTCCATGTTTAGTTGAGTTTCTATCCAAAAAATTAAAAAATTACACGTGCCTTTGGTACAAAACACCTCTATTCGAAATATTTTTATTTTTTACTTTCGTTTTTACACTCCTAAATTGCACAAAACAGCATATTTTCGCATATATCACTTAAGCAGCGACCCGTCAGCTCGCAACAATTTGAGTTTACGACTGACAGTCTATTACGCTCTACTGTCACTAATTGTGACACGCCTGCCCCGCCCACTTTGGGCTTCCTCTTGTTTTTTATATTCCGTGGGCTAACTTGCCGTTTCTAATGCCACCGAAAATTAAATTGCTTATTTTGAATAATTAATTACTATACCTGCAACAAATTACAATATATATTCTATTCAAAAAAAATCCGGAATCAAATACATACTAAAAATATTGCAAATTGAATCAATGAAAAATCATACAAAAATATAATATAACACGCAAGAATTACTTCAGAATGTATTTTATTACAGTCAAACAAGTGAACGAAGTTTGGCAACGCTTTTATATACTGTAAGTTCTTTCCTAAAAAGGTAAACCGCGTGCACATTTCAGTGTAGAAAAGTGATAAAATGATTAGTTTTAAATAAATAGTGTCTGTGTTTAGCGTAAATGTCCAGACAAAAATGTATCTGCGCGCTATCGGAGCATCCACCTTAAATAATGTTGCTACTTAACTTTAATTGCATTATTTGTGTCGTATTTAATCATCTTGAGTTTATTGTTAATTGTTACTGTAATTGTTGTCAAGCACTGTTTTTTGTGATAAATTTTCCTTAACTTCAACATTTTGTTTGAGTTAAAATGACTGGCACTTGCAAATTATATAGACATGGAAACCCACAGATTATGTGTGGAAACCGGATTGATTATCGCAAGTATTGATACAGCAGACTTAGTGCGCTGGCAGACGGCCGCGTAATGACCGCGTCGTTGCTCTGCACAAGAACATTCGTTTCACAAGTGTTACACTTTAAACTGTGACGTTACCTTAGTTTCAACCAGCTCTTGTCGACGTGCAGGTGGACGAGAACATGCAGCGTGCGCAACGCCGCGGCGCGTGCGCGACGCAGCGTTTTTGGTGGCGACGAGACGTGGGCGCGCCGGCCGACGTCGCCACGCAGGCCACTGACCAGCACGACAACTACGCCGAGATGACCGTGGACGAGATCGTCAACGGAAAGGTATTGTAAATAAGAACAGAGCAAGGACCAGAGCGGTAGCGGACGGCAAATTAGCAGAATAATTTAAAAATTATAATTTAATTTAAGGTGCATAAATTTGTTATCATTTGTCTCTGATGAGATCGAAACAATGCCAAGATCGAATAACCGCGCATGCCTCCGGCATGTAATATGCCAGATGCGGGCATGTAATGATATAATTCGTGCGTTTATTGCGTGTATGAGACTATTACAGATTTATTTTCCTTGGCATGGAACCGAATTACACCGAATTTGTAGAGATTACAAGTTAACCTTTTTGTGAAAGGTGCTTTTAAATTAAAAATGAAAATGATGTCAAAAATGTGACCGCTGGTCATTCAGGATTCTGCAACTAGGTCTAGATTTCAATTATCTGCTATATGCGTTTAAATTAAGGGCATTTTCGCTTACTCTGGCTGACCTATAGTTCCTAAATTTTTTTTTTTGCGTTATTTTTAATAGGTATATTAAAATTTTGTAAATGGTCCTAAAAAAATCGAGTTTGATACCCCTGCTTTAAATGAATCATTACCGCACATCACAGTCGGCCCATTTATTTATTAAAAATTCTGACGTAAGAGAATGAGAATGTGAGAATTTTAGGAGGGCGTATTCCCCGGGCTGATCCCGCTGATCGAATCCTACTTGTCGGGAATGGACGTGGACGCGGACACTCACTGCTCGGTGCAGCAGTACCTCAAGCTCATTCAGCGTCGCGCCAGCAACGAGATCTCCACCATGGCCACCTGGATGCGCGAGTTCGTCACTAACCACCCGCAGTACCAGTAAGATTTTTGACTTTATACTTATTTTTTACGATTTTGGTTATTTTTAGTGTCAATATTTTTAATAAAAACTTAATTTAGCATATCATATCATGTTCCAAGTATTTCATAGCTCGAAAGATATAAATTTATTTTGCAAATTAAAACTTAGAATATTTAAAAACCAAAAAAATCAAAATGCCATAAATATATGAATAACTGTTATTTTTCTTTTCTTGACTTCGTCCGCGTTTAATTTGTTACGATTGGATTTTTTTTATAGAACATGAGTGACAAACGAGCACACGGTCCACCTGATGCGCCCAGCGAAGCGAAAGCGAGCGTGTATCAGCTAGTTTGTATAAATTTGACATATTGTTATTTTCAAGAGTGTAAAATATAGAACTAACATTTCGATTCTAGATTAATTTCTAGTATTAGTTACAAATATTAACTGGCCTAAATAAATAAATTTTCCTACATATTCTATTCTTAATATTATTTACTGTAATATTATATATATATATATATATATATATATATATATATATATATATATGTGGAGGTCGTAATTTTTGTTCTCTTACCACCGCGTTTTGATCTGTCGTTTATGTTGAGCCCATTTTCTTTTCATTCTAAAGTACTGAATATCATCTCCGAAAACGCTGATAATAACTGAGGTGATATGGGGTCATTTTGTCAGACGCCTTTCTATAGGAAACAGTTCATATTGAGATTAGTATCTAGCGTCCTTGTAACCAATTATGAAACGCTTCCCAGTTAAATTAATGTTTTAAGGAACGATAGCATTATTAAATTTCATTTTGATATATCCCTTAAATTTTGTAAAACTTGTCTTGACAAATTGTATATGCATATGATATATATGGTCAAAAAATTGTTACGAAATCCAGATTGCTTTTTTGAAGAATCCAGAATGGTTTTCATCAGTTAGTAATTAGTCCAGTCAATATGAATATTTTAAGTGCTTAAAATATATAATATTTCTATTAAAATAGGAGCAAGTGATGATATAATATATTTTTTTACCTTGAAATAAATCTTTTCTTTTCTGCTGTTGTATCTCAGTATAAATTATTATTTTCTTCTTACACGTTCTGTTCTGTTCATATTTTTTACATATTTTTCCTGAATTGGTGTGCATTTGCTTTCGGCCTATTGCATGATTTTTTTTTTCAATCATAATGTCGATTTTTGCATACTCTTCGTCAAACATGGTTTTCCTACAAAATATGAACGCCGAATTCGTTCCATTATTTGCTGGCTGGCGCTTTTCCGAACACAGCGAGCGATGGCACAGTGTCTTTTACTTAAGTAATTAATAAGTTGTAAGAGTTGGACATCAGTATAAAGAAATCAATCTTAAATTTCAAAATTAGAATATTCGCTTTGGGCTGACTGCCACATTTTTTTTCACCTCCTTGTATGGCACCTGGACTTCGCTATCAAATGGCACTTTTTTAAACTTTCCGGCTGGAATATTATAAATAATTATTTTTAGGAATTATTTTTTCATTCAGTATTATTGACAACATTCTTTGTTTTGATTCATTATACTTCACTAATTATTACATAATTCTCTTTACAGAAAAGATTCCATCGTATCCGAGAAAATTAACTACGACTTGCTGAAAACGGCACATGGTATTCAAACTGGCAAGATTCCAGCGCCTACCCTACTTGGCAGTAGCAATGTGTCCAAGACTAATGAAGACATTCCTAAAGCATTTAGCAAAATGATGAGCAAAGATTGTCCCTAGCCGATACATCACAGTTCGGTTTAGTGCCTTTATGTGCAAATGTATTTGTTTTTTGGTCTATGTACTAGTTACAACATAGTTATTGTTGGCTTAAATAGTATATACACAGCAAGAATATAATTTAGTTCGCTATAAATAGCTTTGTTGACATGAGATCGACCAATGTTCTCATCTATATTTTTATTTGTAAAATATTTAAAAGCTACACAATATCATATAGCACTAACAATATTGGGTAAACGTAAATACATAAATTTGTAATAAAATAGATTATATGTTATAAATTTTAAAATAAACACGAATGTAGGTGATATTGTGCTAGATAAAACTATCCTATGTAGCAAAGCTATTGTCAGATATTATATTGTATAACACATTCTATTATATTTGAATTAATATTGAATACCCAGTAATTTAAATGATACAGGCATATATCACCCGCAATAATTTCTTGTTTGTTTTTTATACAGAAGCCTTTATATTTTTTTAAACTTCGTCTTTAAAAAAGAGAAAAGGTAACCTTTTAGTAAATCCAAAACCAATGTGATCTTTTGTGATAGTTGATGGCTGTAGACTTAGAAATAAGCCCTGCACTCGAAGCAAAGATATGTACGTAATATGTTGCAGATAAAAAAATCTAATTGCTTATTTTGCACATTCTTTAATTACTTAGTTTCAAGATTAATATGTAATTTTTCAGGTTACGAGCATTGTCAATTCTTTCGGAATAGGACTAGGTTAAAAAGAAATTCCCGCTGTTCGGGACGGATGCGATGTTGGCTTCTTAAAGGAAAGTGAATAGATCTAACGTGATCATCATTTATCTGGTTTACTTGCAATCATACTATGTTGGCTGTGTAACCATAATACGTAAGCGGCCTGTCTTAAAGGCGTGCCTATTTTGAAATGAAAAAGTTATGATTTTTTTTACTTTTTTGTTCCTCAAGTATGTGTTGATTTTCTAGTTAGAGTTGCTATAATAAATATTGGATATTTTTTCCCCTCATATCCTGGATTTAATATTTACTTATTGGCGACCATAGGGACAGTAGCAAGTACATTTATAACATTTACTCATTGTGGGTTAGATCACAATTAGTAAATTATTGTTATTCAATTAAGGCGTATTTGGATTATAAGTAAACTTGAGAAAACCTGTTTATCTCGATCAAATCGTTCATTAAATATCATTGAGAAAAATAAAACTTTTACAATATAATTTAAAAAAAAATTATAATAGTTTCCACTCAGAGTTCGTATGAGATTTTGATTTACTCCATACTTCATTCATAATTGTTTTCGTTCAGATGAAAATGGATTTATTATATCAGGCTATGACCATGGATTATACTATCTAAAATATTATTAAAAACAAAAACATTGTTTATATAATATTTAGATAAAAAAAAATCAATGTCTTTGTTTGTAATAAGTTAATTATTTCAAATAATACTGTGTTAGCATTATTTGAAATCACCCACTACCCCATTCTACTGTATCTAGAAGGCGTTTATATTGGAATTTATGTTTGTAAATTGCTCGTGGTCAAATATCCAAACCCGACACAGTTATTTGTAGTACATACACGTATTTCTTTCACGCGGGAATCGATTTCGCGGCCTGCAGTTTAGCTACAGAGCCGTCGTATATTACGCAAGAAAACGAAAAAAAGAGAGCTAGCTATATTGAACTGAAAATAAATATGAGAAAGACGACGAATAGAACAAATTTCCCTCACCGTACTTATTATTTATGTTGGCCGACGAGTTATGAGAACTGCTGAGCGAAAACGCTCTTCATGTATGAAGTTCAATTTAGTTACCATTAGCGGTTCATACAAACTACTCTTTTATAATTACATAAGTCTAATCGTACGCATGTAAGCATTCATTTGAGTGTTGCATGCTTTCTAGCGAATGTACTGAACTTCTAATAATAATTTACGGTGCTTTTATAAAACTTGATTTATTTAAAATTTTATTTATTTTCGGGTGTATCAATATAATTCAATAATCCTATATAACATAATTTATCAAAATAGAGTATATCAATTAATTTTAATCTGTAAAGTGGAAACAGATATACTATACAGGGTTATTTTTCAAAGAGTAGTCAACCTTTAAAGTTAAGTTCATATATATATGAATAATGATATACCGTTATTCAGTCTTTGAAAATACGAATTAATAAAACTTCGACTTTAATTTGAAACTATCCCAAATTGCATGTGATTTATAGGCAACAACGTTTTTACCTACCGATCTACCCTTATGAATGTGTGGCGTGCGCAGTAAAATCGGGTAAAATAATGTATTACCATGCATTTTGAAGTTAAAACATAAAAAGGACAGAATGTTTGTTTAATTAATTTTTCTTCGCCATTTGTCTATATTACTTATTTTGAACCTTTTGTGCAAATTTGGCCGGTTATGGCAAAATAACCCTGCATAGTTTTTATTATTGTGTGCGGGCAACTATTGATCACTTAGCTATAGTTCACTGCTAAGTCACAGTCATAAATACTACTAACAGTCGGTCATCGAAGGCGTCTAGACGGTTCAATCGTGTGGTGCGGTGCGGGGTGAGACCCGGGCTGAGCACTTCCCGAGCGGCCCTGAGCCTCTCGGGCACTGTCCGCTAGGGTTGCTTGTCAATAAATTAAAATTGGTCACACTACATGTGCGGTAAAACACTGTGGGTCGTCCTCATTTAAATATAAATAATTAGTTTCTTCAGTTTCCACGTACCCAGTAATTTGTTTAAACGTGAAATAAAATAAAATCAGTTTTTTATTTTTTTTATTGTTTTCAGTTTCGACAACCCTAGCAATTTATTGCTTATGTCGACTTTTCCGACAACATCAAACGCGAGACTGACTGTATGTTCTTCTTAGGCTGTGGCTACGCTATGCTTTCATTGAATTGCAGCATAGTTATTTATTATGTAACTTTAAATATCCAATAAATAGATGTACATATATAAAAATATTCAATTATAATGCAATTTTCTGTTGTGTTTATATGTCTAATGAGCAAGCTAGACTAACGCTTGAACTTATTATTTTGAGCATAACAAAAATGTCAAGTTTTGGTTACATCTGGCTCTGATGGTTTTTGTAAGTAGACTTAGTTATTATTCCCGCAGATTTTCTATGTTTCAGAACAATTATTTGACTAAATCTAAATAGAAACTGCGTTTTGTGTACGTATAATACACTAGTGGTCATAAATATATGATAGTACAGTTGTGAACTCTAATTTGGACCTATTTAAGGTTGAATATCGTACAGCAAACGCACACCTTAAGAGCTGCTACGAGTATTTTGACATGTAAGTTGGTAATATTGGTGTTGACTACGCGTTGTGCACTGATGTTACTTGGGGCAACTGCTCTTAGATCTATCTTCTATACTCGTATATGTGTAGATACAATAATAACATTAGAGAGTTATAAAATAAAACTAGATTAATTAACGTCTGATACATCATACGCACATACGCATTACTATTAATTTGAAACTTTCGTTCTTAGACATATCTTAGAAATGGGTCCCATGTTAAAGTTGCAGACTGTACTACAATTTGAGGAAGACGTGATTTTGAATTTAGATGAAAATTCGACGTTAAAGAATTTTAATAACAATATTATTAATATTACCTCGTACAATTGATAAATTTGAATCCTTGCAGTTAACATGATTTATCCTTAACAGATTCGAATAATAGATAAGTTATGCCACCGGATTCCGTTTTACCGCGCGAAATTTTCACAGTATTACTATTCAAAACATTCGTAAAATCAGTTCCTGTAGAGTAAGAAAAAGAGTAATAAAAGTGTGTGGTAATAAATGGTTGTGAAAGAAAAGCGAAAAACCAAAATTTCCATATGATACCTTCAGACCAACAAAAATGATAGTACTAAACGGGCTTACGGTTTACTTACGGGCTGTGAAAAAAGAAAAGAAAAGAAAAATGTGTGCTTGAGTGCGTGTCAAGAAGTCAAGTTGAGCTTGGTTTTGGCGTCACCTGACATGTAATTAGCGTTTTTGTTGGTCTGAGATTAAGCGTTTTATGCTTAAATTATAAAATACACATTTCCGATCTTCTTGTTGACAACAATAATAATAGCTATTGTTATTGTTGTTAAAAACTAGTTTTGGTATATTATCAAGTGATTTTATTATTTAAAAGTGTCGTGACTCGTGGCATTACCATAGTGCGCACTCTAAAATATGTGAATATAGGTATACAAGGCATTTGATTTTGTTTTGTGCCATGAAATTTAATTTTAATGATTGACTTTTATGCGGTATTATATATTATTGTTACTTTATGGCTACTAATGGCGGGGATATAAAACTTTTAATTTAAATCATGTATTACATGTATACTCTCACTTTCAAGAAAATTTAAAATTTATTGAATAATTGAATACTCTAGAATATTTTAAATATGAATATTTTTCAATTTTGTTCGACATTCTTGTTTTTATTTTGTTTTTAAATTAATTACACATTAGCAAGTTTTTCGTTAGACGTTATCATAAGTAAATTGTAAAAAGTAACTATTTTAGGAAATCTTGTTTATTTTCATCTCGTATTTCAAATGAAACAATTAAAAAATACGGCAAGTTAATATTTCATGTTATAAAGTTCTATGACGCATATTGTAGTCATGGGCGCGTCTGCCGTTGACCGGCTGCGTGTCGTGATGAGCGGTGAAGGTGTAGTGAAATAACGAGAGGTTTTTTTTTTAACTTTATAATAGGGGACAACAAAGGAAACCATTAGTCTGCCGTTTTTGAATTTATTCTGCTAGAACCATTGATACCTATACTAAGACTATAGTTTAAAGACTAAATATACTTAACATAAAAAAGTTACGCATCAAAAGGTAAAGGCTATTTAAGCGACATTTCGGGCGATATTAATTATAATATTAAGAATCTGCAAGCTTTTTTATATATTATATATATTAGATAAATTCGTCTTATTTATAGATTGGTGGGTATTTGACGGCAGATGGATTAGAATAGGGCTCAAGTGTTTTTCCTTTATGGTTTAGTTCATTCATACACAAAATTTTTAAGATCATATGAACTTCATTTTTTTTTATTACATGTATACTAGCTATTATCCGCCTGCACTGCATAATGCCCATGGGGTGTCGAAAGACGAATATGGGAAACCTCAGAAAAATCATCGCTGACGATAGATAACATTATTTATCACGTTCACGAACCCCACATATAAAATATTTAGTCCGACAATGGGTGCCGCGTCGAATGTGCGAAACGTCTGGTACCTCTAATTGATGAAGGTGAATCGGTTATTGTGGTCTCTTAAATACTCTATAAAAATTGATTGAAACGTAATGTAAACGACCTTTATCTCTACGTTATAGATATTTAATGTCCACATTAAAATAAATTATTTCTATATTTTGTCCTATTTTTTTAAAACTTTATATTGCTCTTTAGTAAAAGAAATGTCGCTTAAAACAAATCGCCTTTTACCCATCGGTAAGAAATGATAAGTTGACAATGATTCCCTTAAAATTGCTTATGGGCACAAGTTTATACTTTATTTTATAATTAATTTTATATTTTAGCAAATAGAAGCTCATCCATTTTGCGTTTTTTTATATTTTAATGTGGTATAAATTGTTATGAAATATGTTATTTTTTTCTGTTACCAATAATTATATTGATTAATGATTGCATTAAATAAAAGAGTTAAATATTACAAAATGAATTTTATTTTAAAAGAATATTTATGCCGATTCAATTATTTAAAATTTATCGACCAGCTGCAGTATATGTTGCTGTTCTTGTTGCCGCCACTCTTCACTTCCCGCGTCGCCAAGATTCCCAGCATATTCTATGCAAAAAAACAGCAATGTTATCGTAACAGAACAGTAATTAGTGGTGACAGATAGTTTTAATTAAACTTTTATTTTAATGGCCTCAAAAATGAAAACTACAAATTGATGTTTCCCTATATTGTCAGTGTCAATGCTAAATTCTGTTTTTGATATGGAAGGACTTGATGTAGGTACAAAGAAAATATAAAAATGGAAGGATGTCATACACAAACGGCCTTTACACGTAGGTTAGATATCGTAGAAAATATATAACTGCGACGCACGCTTGAAAGTGTAAATGTGCAAAATCATGACAGAACTTTTATAATTTAGCAAAAACTTCAATGTACCGGCAATTGAGAACAAAAACTGTCACAGCTGTAGATACGTGCGGACGTCAGCTTGGGGGGTGCTGGTACGGTAAAATATGCCACGCAGTTGTATTTTCATTTACGACAGTTACTGTTCTTAGGCAAATAAAGTTACATACTTCTTCAAATCACGTTGACCAAGTGGGCACATAAATAATACAAAATGTTACATTGTCGAAAATAACGTTTGTGGTTTATAAAACAAAGAATGGATATATAGAGCGACGAGAGAACACAGGTCACAGAGTAAATGGGGCTCTTCGCTCTATTGTGAAAAGACAATGTATAAGAAAAGGCACGTATGGTAATTCATACATGCTGTATTAGCCCCGACCTTAGTGTATGCTTGTGAACGTTGGGTGTGGCAGAAGAAGCAAGAGACTAGAATAAATGCTGTAGAAATGCGGTCATTAAAGAGTATGTGAGGGCTGAATCTGAGTGACATCGTGTGATGAGAGAAAAGTGTGGTTTGCAAGATAATGTTGAGACCAAGGAATACTTCGGTGCTTTGGTCATGTAGGAATGGACGAGGGAAGAGGAACAAAGCTTTTTTATGGCGCCAAAAAAATTTGGAACGCTCGCCACTTCCGATTGCGTTCGCTGTTCGGAACGTCACTCTAAGGAGCGCACGTGTGAAGACCGCTAATACTTAGATTGTAAGTATTATCGGTCTGTAGTGTAACTTCTCGCCTATGGCTTATACATCATTTCATATTAGCTTTCAAAGGTTCTGTAACCATCCATCCAACCCTTTAAAAGTAGTAGAGAGTTCGTTAGTATCTGATTTTTAAGAAAAAACAGCTCCGTTGAGTCCCTTGTTTTCGGCATGGAATGCGTGCATGAGCGAATACGAAAGTTGTGTAATGTTAGAGTTGTTTTCAAAGATTAGGAAATTACAGTAGACGGTACAGGGGCGATTTCTGCTGCGAAAGAGCAAAACACTGGAGCAAGCAACAAATAACACCTAGTGAAACCAATTAATTTATTAGTCACTTTCCAAACGTAGTGTGTGATTTGAACGGAAAGTTCATGTTTTCTTTTAGAAAATTTTCCCCAGGGATAATAAATGTAAATTGTGTCCATTTATTTCATATACATTATTCTAACATTTCAGCACACTGTTGTAAGTAAATAATAAAATTATACTAATTGGTTCGATCACTAGTTCTAAAACAGAGTAAAGTCATTCTATTTACGGTATATAGAGATTACGTTTTTAGTTTTTATGAATTGGAAATAAACAAGAAATATAAAAACATTTTTTGTTAATAAAATTATTTATCCTGAATGCCTTTTCCCAATTTAAGCAATTGTCTTTTTGATTTGAAAATATCTGAACCTAGAATTATACACACCTCTCATAACATGCCGTATGATTTTTAAAGAACCACCGCGTAACGACAACACTCGTTGAACTCGCTGTTTTATTGTAGGCGCTCCCGCAGTACATACCTAAAAATATATAAAATAATCAAGTAAAAATCTACAAAAGTGCCGCTTCTCAGTGGAGACATTCTCATTGTAGTTTTTGAAGTTGTTGATTATATTTATAACAAACAAATACAATTTGTAACTATTATGCAAAATGTTAAAAACATTACTTCCAAAATAATTCTGTCAATCAGCTGCAAGGTGAACAGCCCCCCAGATAGGCGCTTTAAATACTGCGTATCATCATCAGTTTCTTCAGCGTCAAGCTGAAACAATGTATAATGATTTGTTAGGTAATACAAATACATAATTTTTTTTATACGTGGTAGATTCATGCTGTAGTTATATTAGTAGTATAGTTGTAGCACGAATGGGTCGGCTCGACCGGGGAGGGACCACGCTCTCACAGAATACCAGCGTCAAATAGCAGCTTAACACTGCTGTGTTTCGTATGGTGAGTGTAGAGAACCGGAGACCCTTTTTACTGGAAGAGAGACATTCTATCTTAGTCCTCACGGCTGACAACGCATCTGCATTTTGATTCGCAAACGGGGATAGATGTAGATGTCTATGGGCCACGCTTGCCATCAGGTGGACTGTGTGCTCGTTTGTCACCCTATCCTATAAAAAAAATCCCCCATCTTCATCATCATCATCAAAGCCTAGCAAAGTCCATGCTGAACATTAGATTACCTTATAAGGTGGATATTATCCGTAGTTGCCATGCTTGGCAAGCGGGTTACCAACTGCAGTTTTTGTTAATTTCTAGTTGTTATTAGAAAGAGACTGCTGCTCATCTCCTGGTTTGTTTCCCTCTGTCGCCTCAAGTGAAACCCACGGGACGTAATGGGGTAGTGGATATTCTTACAGCACCACTACACGGTCTACTTTTGTAAATAGTCCACAGCTGGGCATAGGCCTCTTCCACAGAAAGAAGTACTTCTTCTACTACTCCTAACGTCATGTTTATACATAAAGAATGTACAATATGTCATAAAAACCCTATTCTGTTCATGTACTTAATCCTTATTTAAAAAAATTACTCGGCAAAATTTTTTTCTTAAATGGAAAAACACATGTTTCGTGCGGCGAGGGCGACCGTCAGGTAAAAATACAGCCCACGCGATTGTGGCCGGTGGAAGGAAAAGAGGAGATCGCCCGCCGGGCAAGGTGTGCTGCCCGGGGAGCGGCCAACGCTCCGATCGTTAGTTCACGTAGTTCGGAGCTATTCTATATAATATGCGGCTTTAACTTCGAAACTTTGTTAGTGCGATTTAGGCTTCGATGTGTTTCGCTTGTGGCGCGACGACAGCGCCGCCACATCACCCCCCTGCTCAGACCGGAGGTCGATAGTGCAGTCCGATTGCCGGTGCGTCCTTAATGCCGGTGGGGAATGCATGCTGTGTGCGTAAGGCAAGTGACGCCGGTGCGAACGTTATGCCGGTGTGTAATGCATGCCGTACTACGCACTTGCAAGTGATGCCAGTGAGAACGATGAGCCGGAGCAAGTGCCAGGGATTGCTGTGTAGTCTGCGGTGAGTCGAGAAGAAGGCAAGTAATCTGCGAGAGTGCTGTGAAGCAGAGGCGAGCAGTAAGGCTCAGAGCCGTGCCGAACACTGTGGCGCAGATAGTAGCTTGAAGGAGCAGGAAGCATTATTATTCCAGCGCTGCGATGAACCTTTGTACAGCTAGATGGCTTGCAGAATGTGAAGACTGCAGACAATATCTGCTCGGGAGCGAATGAATGGGGGGTACTTGAGGACGATGACAAATGTTTTTGAAGTTGTAGTTTCCGAAGGTTGTTGGTTGCGTGTTCATATCACGTCTGTTGGTCACCAATGTGGCGGGTGGAAGGAAAAGGGGAGATCTCCCGCCGGGCAAGGTGTTCTGCCCGGGGAGCGGCCCACGCTACGAGTGGTGTTCGGAGCTATTCTATATATGCTGCTTTAACTTCGGAACTTTGTTAATGCGATTTAGGCTTCGATGTGTTTCGCTTGTGGCGCGACGACAGCGCCGCCACACGGTAAAAGATACCGTGGCCGACAACGGTGTTGACATATTTTAAAGTTAAGCCAAAAAGGAAAGCAAATTGTAGTAAAATATGTATTATCAACAACAAAGACATGTTTATTAATAATTTTTCATTTTTTTGGTTATGTCATTGTAGTACCTACCTATGTGTCTCAGTCACATTGGAAAAGGTATTTTTTTTACATATTGTATAGTTACGAAAGCCAGTTGCGTGTTGCATTACGTTGCGCGAGAACGTTCCTGATGATGGGTCAACGGCCTCTGCCAAGTTAAGGTGAACGCACATTTATCAGCACCGTACGCGACGCAAGCAAATTATTTTGTTTAGTATAGCCAAGAACTTTTACAGTTTTTCTAATCACTGGTGTGAAACGGTACAGTGACATTGATCGCTCAGAATCGCTCAGATCGCTGGAAAAAATTGTTGTAAGCCTGTTTGGCAGAGGAAGAAGAAAATAAAATTCAAAGAAAGATTCCGGATTCACAATATTAATTTAAAAAGGCATGTATGTGGTATAGAAAATATTATACATTATATAAAGATTTATTAGATGATAATGATCGATTTTACAGATATCATACAGATCGTCTTACGTCTTGTCTGATGACTCAATGATTCCTACACAGTAAAAGTAAATACTCCTGAAATTAACTAAAAATATATTTCGAAACGTGTAAGTGGGTTAACGGTGGAGTGATCATCTTGCCACTAATTCATTGTTACACAAAAATTGACCTTCAAATCGCTTATAGATCTTCAAATATTTTGACAATAGTATCATCTCTGCAATTTTGTCGAAATCCACAGATAATAATAAAGTAACTAGAAAAAGAAGCGTACTGTCACACTTGCCTCATTAATGGAGAAAGTGTGACAGTACGCTTCTTTCTTCTTTCGTTTCGTCTTCCTATTTAATTAGTATTAATACAAAATACCTTAAATTACAAAATGCTACCTGTAGATACTAAAATGCTTGATCAAACAAACAAGCACTTGATAATTGATGTTATGAAACTTAATTATCTATGTTAAATCCGAACAGAGTAGAATTTGTAACACTTGCCTCGGGCGACCATGTATATAATATTCTATTAGAGTATTATCTTAAATTATTTTTAAGTAACCATTTAAAAATCATATGTTGTTTTAAAACTTATATTATTTTAATTCCTTCTTCCTTACTGTAACTAATTTTACTTGGAAATGTTAATGTGTGATCTTGCCCCTCAATGCTCATGACTCGTACCAGTATCCATATTGTTTATTCTCTACATGTCATTTTAGTTAATTTCATCATAACATGATGAATCCCATAAATACGGTAAAAATAAAATTTTTACTTACATGTATTGAATTTTGAGATTTGTATTGAAATTGAAAGAACTGTGTATGTGAATAAAATGTTGCCAAAATCCCCAATATAGGCAAGGTTTTATATTCCTGCTTGGGTTATAATAACATTTGATACTTACCTCCATTTCTTTTTCCGTTCTGTCTACTTTGTCCATATATTTAAAATGTAATTCTAATAATCTGTCAACTTTTTCTAAATCATTTTCAGTAAATTTAGCAAGAAGTCGCTGTCTCTGACTACCTTGACAATTTCGTAACATGGAAGATATTATGGATACCACATGTTCTGAAAAACAAATTTGAAATGTTTAAGGTAAAAATGTTAACATGACATTCATATATTATGTACTGTTGGGAAAAATAATTAAATTTACTGATTAACCTTCATGCTGGTCAACTGTCAACAATCTTTTTCTTTTTGGCGTTTTCATGAAAAGTGGAAATACTGTTCTGAGACCTAAAATATCCACAAACTTATTGCAATTATCTTTTCCATCAGGACCTGCAAGCGCATGATCTAGAACTTTTAAAGATCCATTGCGCGACATCTTCTTTTCCCTATAAAAAAAATATTAATATAAATGCATTGAATACATACATTTATTAAGGGTTTAATTAGGTTTAATATTATAATAAAAATAAAATTAATAATTTTGAAAGCTTTTATAGCAAAAACATCATAAGGAATCTATGTTTAGTAATGGACTGTATGATTATAGTATTATGTATATATGATAATACTATTAACTAATTAAATTTCTTTTAATTATCTATACATATAATAAAACTGTAAATAGCAGATGTCTGTACATTTTATATTTTTGTAATAAAAGTGATTGAGGGGTACTAAAAATAAGTAATTAAATACATTTCTACCATTTTTAGAATTTTCTGTCTGTCTGTCTGTCTGTCTGTCTGTCTGTTTGTTTGTTAACGTATCACGTATAAAGTACTAATTTATATCATAAGAATTGTTAAGGAAATTATAAAGTGTACCTTCGGGTTACATTTAGTCTTTATTTCATTAAAATCAGTTCATTCCATCAAAAGTTATGATAAATATTCTGAAGTATGGGTAGGGAAGTATAGGTACGAATTAGCTCAACGGTGGCTTTGTTTGAGTCATCAAGTGCATTTTAAACTAATATCATATCATAAATCATAGTTAAATTATGTAAAATAATGATATAATTATGCATATCTAAAATGCAGTAAACAAAAGTATTAAAGAACGTATTAAATATATTATACAAAAATATATTAAACCTTATTAACTAAATCTGAAGCACAATAGTTAACCCATTTCTTCGATAGATGGTGGTGTAGTGAAAATGTAACAATGTGATTTTTTCCTGTAGATAAGTTTTCATATTTACTGCTAATCTTTATTATATTACTCGCTGCCCTACTGCGTGTTGACAAACTCAATTTATTATTTACCGCCAAGTACTCTATGTGGTAAATCAAATTTTAAAAGAGCTATTAACAATTGCGTTGGTTTTGGCGAGAGTCAAAATTTATTTTTTGCTTACTGTGCAGGCACTGATTTATAAGTTCTCTTGCGTTTTATATAATGTATCAATCGCGTCAATTAATCTCTTTTATTTTTAGAATTGATGTTAGCAGCGCCATCTCTCTTTAAATATATACATATAATAAAAATGATGATAACATGTTGTGTCTCTTTCTGTACATTGTATATATATTTTGGTGGCTAAAATCATTATGGGGAACTGAAAATAATTAAATAAGAACATTTTATAATTTTTAGAATTGTCTGTCTGTCTATTTGTCTGTCTGTCTATTTGTCTGTTATTATATGAATGCATCACGTCTAAAGTAAACATCTTTTATTTTCAAAGAAATCGTTAAGAAAATCATAAAGCGTATCTTCGAGTTACATTTAATCTTTGTTTTATTAAAATTGGTTAATTCTATCGAAAGTAATGATTATTATTTTGAAATGTAGGTTCGAATTTGCTCAATGGCGCCATAAAATCTCAGAAATAGTAATAAAAAGATTTGTGTGTAAAAAAAAACGTTCCATAATAATTAATATTTTATACTTAAAACACAAAAAGAGATTTAAAAAGGATGTTTTCTCACACAAAGGACTTAATAGATGGAGTTGTACAAATTACAAACTTTTCTGAATTGCTGTGTTGAGATTTTTCACCGATGAATCGTATTGAGACTTACTGAAGAAATTTGTATCCATCGAAGCTATACAACGGAACCCGACCAAAAATAAAATTTTGCAACGAAATGTCGTGATATTGTATTTATAATATACGCAAAATCAGTACTGCCATTTTAGCGCTTTTGGAACTAGATTTAGCGCTTTTTTGGAATGTATAGCGCGCATTTCGAAATTTTAGCACCTAGCTTAATCCAGCGCTTTTTGGTGTATTTAGCACACATTTCAATATTTTAGCGACTAGCGGGTTATTAACTCTTTTATAGCAGCACTGTGAGTCCACATTACCGATAATAATAATAATGACCTTTATTATTTTTTCCCACAAATAGTACATTGCAGTTTATCTTTTTCAAACATATTTTTTCCACAAAACAAAGAGCATAGGAGACGAGTCCAAACTAGGATACCCTGTGCTATGGATCTCCTGGCTTCCCCTTTAGGATGATCAACTTGATTTTTTTACCGACGACAATAAGCGGGGAAATCCCCTTTATTAAAGTTTTCGTTCATGGTTTTGGCAACGCATTTATTTTGCTTTATTCATTTTCAGTCAGTTGCTTAGAGCACAGCTAAGTTAAAAGTTACTTAGAAGTTATAACACAAAGAAACTGTGTAGCAACCGCAATCAGATGCTGACATCTGAAACTAAGTTGCGAAATACATTGCACTTTAAAACAATTAATGACATTTTTATTGTTCGTACAGTACTAACTACTGTTGACAGCAATTGCCATAATTATAAGTCGATGTCCTGCGAAGTATTGATACATCAAAAAAATATTGCCAGAAAAAAAACTTAATGTTGTTTTCTTTATTATGATTATATAAAAAAACACAAATTTGTTTGTAGTTAATTTAGCGCGAAATCTAGGGCTTTTTTAAAGCGCTGTTTTCATGAAATCTAGCGCTTTTTGTGTTGTCCTAGAGCTGAATGAGTTTTTTTTTTAATCTGGCAGCACTGCCCACAAACCTTTAAGTAACTTTCCTTTCAGTTTTAAGCGCGTTCAGTTCCCAGTTACAGTGAGCGTGTGTTATGCGATGACCGTAAATAAAGCGCAAGGTCAAACTTTACGCGTTGTAGGAGTGTACCTCAGTACTGACTGTTTTGCACATGGCCAAATCTATGTTGCTTTTTCCCACGTTAGTAGCCCCCGTAACCTTTTTGTGTACACCCTGGCTAAGCCTACTTCTAACGTCGACACAGAAGCTCTATCATAAACGACTTAGAACTTTGATGATAATGATTTATTTAGTTACCACTTATTGATACAGTAATGAAATAAATCGTTTAATATTCTCTTACCTAAACGACAAATTCTTTATGTAAAACCTGTATACGCGAGCTACGCCGCGGGCACAGCTAGTTTTTAATTAAACTGTTAATTGCAATTTCAAGTACTGATTTACCACGTGCTCGGCGGTGAAGAAAAACATCGTGAGGAAACCTGCATGTCTGAGAAATGAGAAAAAACAATATTTCGAAGACATGTGAAGTTTGCCAACACGCATTGGGGCAGCGCGACGGACATTTACTTGCCCTAAAACTCTCTCAGAAATGAGAGGAGGCCTGTACCCAGCAGTGGGACGTGGTATAGGCTACAACTTTACTGTATTTTTATTTTTAATAAACTTTATGACATTTTACTTGATTACCTGAGCATCAGATTCATTAGCTGCAAGCCTTCTCCACGTAAGAAGCGGTCTCTGTTCGCGGGCTCCATCAACGCACAGCACAGTGCATCAAACATATTCTCCATGGCTTCTTGTTCCTCTGCACCACTTGGATCATGCCTTTTATAAAACTACAAAAGATTTTTATTTTTAATGCTAATATTAATTATAACTTATTACAAGTTGAATAACAGAATGTAAGTTACCGCCAATTGTTGCAATAGAACATCAATTCCATCTAATTCTCCTAGCAATTTTCTGTTTTCTGGTGTATTTTGTAACAATATTGATAAAATTTCTGTTGCATACAACTTATTACCGTCAAAAGGCACCTTTAACTGAAAATGAAAAATTAAATACGAATATGCTTAATTTTAATTATTTGAAATATAAAAAAAAACACAAAAATAACATCTACATTTCATACCTTTAGTCTTTTGAGAATCCACTGTAAAAATCCTTGCTTTGCCACTTCATGACATAATTCTGGTCTAAATTCTGTAATGTTTTCTATTATACCTGATAAAAACAATTAAAAAAATTATATGTTTGATTTTTTAATGATAAAATAAAACCTTTGTTTACACACAAAATAATTAAAATGATCCTTTAAAACTAAAAGCAAGTTTAGCCAGAACTCAAGGAATTTCACAAAGAACAGTCCTGTTCCACCTGCATCTATTTCGCTTATTGAGATGTCACTCCATCAAGTGGAAGGCCGCTTACCTGTACGAAGTACCAAGCATGACATGATCGAAATCAAAAATTATGATCATGCTTTTAACCGTGTTTAAATATTGTACTGCTAAATTGTAATCTTAGGTGCAATTTATCCCCTTAAAACAAAATCATTCTGTAGAAAATTATTTAATAATATGTACCAGAACTCATTCGAAATAGCGTGTGATGGAATTTTCGCCTATGCGATGCATTTTCATACCTAAGTAGTATAAATTTGATGTCATTTAGACATTGCCTCTTCCTAAACATCATTTTGTGTTCCATTATAATATGTCACGGTCCTATTAGGCTGCCTTAAAGAAATTTCAATAGTTTTTGTTTTTAATCTATACAAATAAATAAAATTGAAGTGTCTGTTTGTATGTCAAAATTACAGCTTTTTACTAAATGCATATGGAAGTATATACGCTACTAACAACAAAAAAACAATTTTTAAAATTTTTGTCTGTATGTCTGTTTGTTCCGGCTAATCTCCGAAACGGCTGGACCAATTTTGACGGGACTTTCACTGACAGATAGCTGATGTTATGAGTAACTTAAGATACTTTTATTTTAGAAAAAGAATTAGGGTTCGAATTAATAGTTCGGATTAAAAAATAAATCGAATTAGGCGCAAACAAATTAATCGTAGTAAATTCCACGCGGGCGAAGTCGCGGGGGACAGCTAGTTATTCAATAAGTGTCGACATGAAAACGGGTTGTTAGGCAATATGCTTGTTGAAAATGATATAGTTATGATTTAATACGCCCAATCATTGATATTTTGTAATAATGAACATAACGGCACATACTTTATCAGTTTTATAAAATTTTGGAGCTTAATATTAAAACTCATATGTGGAATTCCTATTACGTTTCCAACAACTTTTTAAATAACGCCGAAACACCCCGAAATACCAAATGTAAAACTAACCAATAGAACTTTAAAGGAAAAATAAGCTTAAAAGGAATATTTTTACAGGATTTTCGGGCTACAAGAAATTTCATGAATGTTTTAACGATATATTGCTATCAAGCGAACGCCAACTGCAGCACAGACTAATTATATATATGTTTTTTATAGGAAAGGGGCAAACAAGCATGCGGCTCACCTGATGGTAAGTGACTACAGCCGCCCATGAACAACTGCAACACCAGGGGAATTGCAGATGCGTTGCCGGCCTTTTAGAAAGGTGTAAGCTCTTTTCTTGAAGGTTCCTAAGTCGTATCGGTCCGGAAAATTCGCTGGTGGTAATTGATTCCACAAAGAAGTTGTGCGAGGGAGAAAACTTCTTCTAAATCGTACAGTGGTGGACAGCCAATCATCCAGATGGTATGGATGGTAACGCGAGTTTTGTCGCGATGTGCGATGGTGAAATTGAGCGGCTGGAATTAGTCCGAACAATTCCTCAGAGCACTCCCCGTGATAGATGCGATAAAATACGCAAAGAGATGCCACATCTCTACGCAGTGCCAGTGTATCGAGCCGATCAGAAAGAACTCGGTCGTCGACGATTCGAACCGCTCAGCGCTGGATGCAGTCAAGTGGGAGGAGCTGGCACTGGGGTGCCCCGGCCCAGAGATGAGAACAGTATTCCATGTGAGGCCGAACTTGCGCTTTGTAAAGTTGCAAGCGATGTGCCGGCATGAAATACTAAATGTGGAATTCCTATTACTTTTCCAATAACTTTTTAAATAACGCCGAAACACCCAGAAATACCAAATGTAAAACAAACCAATAGAACTTTAAAGGAAAAATAAGCTTAAAAGGAATGTTTTTATAGGATTTTCGGGCTACAAGTAATTTCATGAATGTTTTAACGATATATTGCTATCAAGCGAACGCCAACTGCAGCACAGACTAAATATATATATATATATATATATATATATATATATATATATATATATATATATATATATTTATAGGAGAGGGGCAAACGAGCATGCGGCTCACCTGATGGTAAGTGACTACCGCCGCCCATGAACAACTGCAACACCAGGGGAATTGCAGATGCGTTGCCGGCCTTTTAATAAAGAGTAGACTCTTTTCTTGAAGGTCCCTAAGTCGTATCGGTCCGGAAAAATTTCTGGTGGTAGTCGATTCTACAAGGAAGTTGTGCTAGGAAGAAAACTTCTTCTATATCGCACAGTGGTGGTGAACCGCCAATCATCCAGATGGTATGGATGGCATCGCGTGTTTTATCGCGATGTGCAATGGTGGTGATTGAGCGGCTGGAATTAGTCCGAACAATTGTTAGCACGGGGAGTGCTCTGAGAAATTACTCAGAGCACTCCCCGTGGTAGATGCAACATCTCTTTGCAGTGCCAGTAACTAGTGAGTCAAGCCGATCGGAAAGATTTCGGTCGTCGACGATTCGAACCGCTCTGCGCTGAATGCGATCAATTATGAATAATAGACGAAATCATTACCCGTATTGCCCTGTTTCCCCCTTCAAAACTAGTCCGATTTAATTATTATTTTCAAAGACAATTTAATATGTTAAAAGATTGTGACTATACGTTTTTCTTTATTTTTAATGTTTGTCAAATTTTTTATATGATGTCGAATAACGAAGTCCTACTTTTTAAAATTATTGTGTAATACAAATAAATATGATAGTAGATGATAAAGAAACATGATAGTAGTAGATATAGATTGTACTGTAAAAAAATGCTCTACAGTCATAATCCAGGGAGAAAATAGAGGAATATATTTGTAAAAACTAAACACGGACCAAATTTGGTCTTAAATATTTTGATAATAATATAGATATTTTGTCGTCTATTCACAAGTCACAAAGACATTTTAGTCTTTTAAACTGTTTTGATTTTTATGCCACCCTGCCATTTACATTATTAAATTGTATTCCTAATGTTTTCGGAATTAACATGTTAATAAAAATATACCTAAGGTGTTATGTACTGCATCACGTTCATCTGGCACTTGCTCATCAAGACGAGTAAGATTGTGTAATAATAATGCGGGAGCTTCTGCTTCTGCCAATGCATTTATTAACTCTTCCGCGCCTTCTTCACTTTCATGGAGAATGTCTACATCAGTAAACTCCTGAAAATATAATAAAGGTATACAATTTCCTCTACATAGAATTCAGGTCACGGCGACGTCTCAACGGAGACTAGAAATCTGCGTAGGAGAGACGAGTGTGTGTGCAACTGCAAGCACTCAAAGTTACCTCTTTCTGCTGGGACGACTATCTAACACGACCGGAAAGAAATACGGCTTTACGTGCTTTCCTAGGCACGGGGTGAATCACCGCCAACATTCTGACCCCAGGCTGCTATTGAGAACTTATTGACATAAAGACCCAATAACTATTGGAACCACATGTTCAGCAGTAGCGCTGACGGTCACTACACCTATGAGGCAGTCGATAAATAAAACATAATAAAGGTATTACTTAAACATGATGAAGAACTAATTTTCAAGCACAAGATGCTTGACAAGCTTTTCTTCAAAATTCAAGAGCATCACTAAGTCGTGCGGGCTGCCCGCTACATGCGATGCGTGCAGCTAGTGCGCGTTATTAGTTAAGTTCCTACAAGTTTCTTCAACACAGACATAATAAAAAGTTCAATACTTTGACATATGGGATAATAAATACACCTAATAATATGGCATATGACAGATAAATTCTAAAGACAGAGATGCTAATTAATAATAACTTATTAAATATACCATTACTGCGCTGTGCGTGTACAGTATAGCATGGTAAAGCAACACTAGATGCGAGCGACAGAGCACATTGCGTGTACCCGGAACGGAATAACGGTGCGGGATATCGCGTAAAATGTTTCTTAAGCTAGTTTTGGTATTAGTGTCATTATCATTATGTTTAAATTTATTGATATTGGACCTCAAATAACATTAAAAATATAAAATTATACTTATCAATTTACGGTATAAAAGTTCTTTTTTTTACAATAAAATTAACGGAATTCTGCCAATATCAAGTCAGATATGAAAATGACATCAAACATAAAAAATAACGTGAGTTTAGTAAAACGTATGGGCAAACCTGTAAAAGATGAACAACTTTGGTCGATATATCAGTGTTATCATGTGATAACAGTTCCAAAAGCGAGCTTATGCATTTTAGTTCCACTAATAATGGGTATTGGTCAGGCACTGTTGCAACGGCACTTAGTTCCTTAAAAATAAGAACAATTGTTTAAAAATAAATATCAGCAAACTCACTCACAAGAAATTCACTAAGATCTGAGATATCATTGTATCAAAAACATTAAAAAAATTATTACTTCGATAAACTTCTCCATTTTAGTCTATTACAAATGCAAAATAATGCACAAAATAGTAAGAGAAATAATGTCAATAATAAATACCAAATAGATTTATTAGAATTAGTACAATTCTGGATTGTTTTAAAAACCCAGCAGCAATGTCACTTTGAACATGTACACACGTCTTATTGCCCCATGGTCATACGTTATATGTCATAATATACTAGCTATCCATCCTGGCTTCTCGTGGGTGGTTTCTGAATCTCGATCACAGCGCCATCTACCGGGTCCAATTGTTAATCTAAACTATCTAGAGACCCACTCAATGACACACAAAAATTTCATCAAAAACGGTTGAGCCATTTTCCAGTTTTAGTGAGACTAACGGACAGCAATTGATTTTAATAAATAGAGATAACATATGCATAATGCATAAACTTTCACACCTATTATACAGTGGGGTAGGCAAAGGCTACGGACTTTCATTCGGCATGATCCTGACACACCTCTCTCACTTGTTTCACACTCGTATACCGTCGTTTAGGTTACTCTTATTTCGGCCTATCTTCAATATATCGCCCACTTAGTCAATAAACTTCCGTCTGGGGCGTGCGTCCCTTGCTCGGCTCTGGACTGGGCTCCGCCACTTACTTCTGCAGAATAAATTTTACTATGTCACTCTTTTCTCATTAATTCTTTCTGTGGCAAAACCAGTTAGCATTCTTTGCTTAATCCTAGTCACAACATCTTGCAAGCCACATGTTTCTCTATCACAGAATTTCTTACTTTTTCATTCAGTCAGTACAAATACATAATTTAAATGTTTATAATGTCCACAGTTTTACAGCATTAATTTTGCTGTCATGCTCCTTCTGCCACACTCAACTTTCACTACCATACATTAAGGTAGGAACTAACACAGCATTATGAATTGCCACATATATTAGATATTATTATAGCTCTCGAACTTGCAAGTTAATTGGACAGTTAACCCTTTAGTTAAATGCTGATGTTCAAACAAATGCCTTAAAAGAAAGCTTAGGGATACGGCTAAGGTACCTTCAAGAAAACTGCCTACTTACTTCTAAAAGGCTGGCAATCCACAAGCAAATCACGTGGTAATTTAAATGTTTATGGCGGAGGCGGAGTCGCAGTTGAAGAGGAGTGTTGGAATGACGATGCGCCACTCGCCCTATCCTCCGCGATTATGTCGTGGCCGCACCGCTGATGCGGTGGTGATGGGGCTGCGGGGGGAGAGAAATGACGGCATTACGGGTAGGGGGGGAGTATAGTCCGTTACGCAGATAGAGTTGAGGCTGCGAAGATAGGCGCGCCTTGTGTTCTTGGGGCGCTTTACCTGAGAAGGAAAAGGGGGACGAGAATTCCTCCCCGAGGAGGGACTGTTATGGGGCGGCTGGTGCTGATGGGTACGCAGATGTATGCAAAAGCGTTATCAGCCTATATCTATTGCTATGGCAAAGCAAGTAAGTTTAATGAGCAATAGAATTAGTATAACAGTATAACATATTTGAAAAAACGTTTACAACCAAATCTATGTCACAATAGGGGAAGGCATAAGTTACGCCCAGCACAGTTTTAGCGCTCGTCTGTTACTAATTTTGCAGAGTTTCTTGAGTTCATTCTTAATAATATAGAACATGGGGAATGTAGATAGATTGGGAATATGTGGACTTGTTACATTGGGTAAAATCATATCTTTCAGAGTTCTGGCAATAGTAGTTGGTTCATATAGGCCTAACTTCATCCATATTCCTTCCGGAAGTCCATAGGGATCCCATCTAGGCACATAATATATATATATATTTGACATATTCACCTGTTTTGACTCCACAAACTACCTTTTATATGCAAATGATAAAAAGATCTTTTATAAGATTAATAATATCAAAGACTGCCTTTTACCCTTCAAAACACTTTAATTTAAACTATTGTATAAGTACTCTTAACAATTATAACTATAAATGTTCTCAAATGTCAAAAAATATCATTCACATGTAACATAAACCTATAAAATTTACATATAATATAAATAACATCCCAGTTGAAGAAGTAGATGAAGTGCGTGATTTATGCGTTGCACTTGACAAGAAACTGACATTGACAAAAATGTAAATACTACAGTGCAAAAAGCGTACAAAAAACTAGGATTTGTTCTACATATTTGCAAACCTTTTTTCAACATAAGCTGTATTAAAATTATTTACTACATTTACGTTTGAAGCATTTTAGGAGGTAGTATTTGATCTCCCTATTACATTACCCACAAACGACAAATCTGAAAGTTCAGATAAAGTTTATAAGGCATCTGAAATATAGAACTCACACTTATTCTGATTATGTTACAGGCTGCAAACATTGTAAAGTAAAATCCTTAGAAAATTGACGTACTGTCTTAGATATGATGTTTTTGTTTAATATAGCAAATGACTACCTAGATTCCCCGGTTTTACTATCTGCAATAAGCCTACCTAATAAGCGTACAAGACACACACTTATTCACTCCCAACAATAGAAATTTCAACTATGCAAGAAACTCACCTTTGGCTCGGATTTGCTCAATACATAATAAAAAATTCTCAAACTTAGATATATTTTACATGTCCAAAGATAATTTCAAACAAAAAGTTCTCTTTTACAGTAAGTGACTCATCTATCCGCATTATTATAACATTAAAGTTTATCTTATCTTTTCATATGGTGCTTAATATTTTTATTTTTGAAATAATTAATATGTAAGTAAAAGCATTTATTTATGTACATTTATAGACATACCACCACAAACATGAACACACACAAATGCACACACACACACATATGTACGCACACACACACACACACATGCGCACGTACGTGCATACTTCTTAGTCTTAGTTTACTAGCTTCACTTTGTTAGCGTTATTTTTATTTATATGTATTAAAGGTAGGAGATACCATTTAAGATTTATACAGGGAAACCTATAATTGGCTGTTATAACCATTTATAAATTATTGTCATTGTATATTCATAAGAGCTGTTGGTTTTCTAAATAAATAAATAAGTAACTTCGTCTTTGACATATTTCATCTTAACACTTTCACTGTCTGGTTTTCAGACACTATAGTAAGATAATAGCAATGACCTATATGTAGTGCACTGGACAGCGAAAAGGTTAATGCTTGGTAACAAAACCATATTTAGTGTAGCTTATGTGTCCTTTAAAAGTTATTAAAATAATGAAATAATACTTGTAAAGCTTCATGCAAATCAATTTCGCTTTCCATAAATTTTTCAGGTTGATCAGGAAACTTTATTCTCATTTCTCTATTTTTCAGTGCTTTCTTTTCAAAGTTTAGGACTAATTTCTTAACTGTAGTGTCATCGAGCACTTCACCCTGCAATTTAAAAAAAAAACAATAATAATCACATGATATTTAAGTACAGCTTTGTAGTGGTGGTGTTTGAATATGCACTGCCCACATCATCCCAAGTGTTAAGAAGTAACAGAGGGAAATGAAAATAAGAAATGCAGCAACATATTTCTGATAATAACTGAAATTAAAAAAATATATTGTAATTCTATAGGGAAGGCTGTAATGAATCAGGTAGAATATATAATAGTCAATATAAATATAATAGTCAAGCACTGGCTTACAATAATAAAAATAAATAAGTACAATCTAAGAAACACGTTGAATGCACAACACTTGTAATAAAGTTTCCAAGGTCCTACCTCAGTTGCCTCTGTTTCAACAAATCTAAGAATATCCTCTCTTTCCTTATCAGTAATCATGGGTTCCTTTGGTAAAGGTTGGCCTTTTAAGTGGGCCATTCGGTGTGTTTTAGAAGAACCCAGGCGCCTTGTCTTAGGTGTTCTGACTGTTTCATCTTCAGAGTCTTCACTTTCATCCTCATTGGGTCTCTTCGGTGTTGGTGTTGGCTGTAATACATTTAATTATAAAACATTTTTAATAAGCAATTATTTCAAAATAATTCTTTACTTAACAAGGTAATTTTCTAATAGTCCTTTACTCAAATAATTTTGAAGGAATTGTGTGTAAGGGAAAATTAATGAAATTATATAAAGTAAATAGTAGATATAACCTTAAACGAAAGTAATTCGCCGACGTCCATTGTCATAAATAAATAAATATGTAAACGTTAATTTTTTACTCCATAGAAATTTGACGTTCGGCGTGTTGCCAGACATAAAAAAATTACCACAAAGAAAGGCCTATATTTTACAAAATGAAAAAATTATTTATAAGAGATTTTTCATTTTAATACACAAAAACCTTGTTTTAAATTAAAATGTTGATTTAAATTATATCACATAATTTTAAAAGTACATATTTTCCTCAAATTCAGTGTGGGCAGAGGTAATTAGTTTTTGCCGACTGGTATCATTGTTACGGAAATAGAGGTCATGCAGAGGTAATAAACCTTTTTTGTGGTTATGTTTAATAGAACTAATGTTAATTAGAAGTAAAACCGAGTTATCACCAAAAACTGGAAAAAAATGAATATTCATTCTATAGAAAATGAGATTAGTGTCTATTTTATCTTTAAAATGTCAAAGCAAATTAAAGAAAATTTATTGGATATCGGTAGATTACACACCCATAATTACCATAAATATGTAATTGAAGAAACGGCGGCAGAAAAAGGAATCACTGTTCTGAGATTGCCACCCTATTACTGTGAGCTTAGCTCGATCGAATTGATTTGGGCCCAAGTAAAAGGTCATGTTGCCAGACACAATAAAACATTCAAAATGGCAGTAGTAAAAACCTCTTGTTGGAAGGAATAACAAATATCACCGAAAATAAATGGCAAAAGTGCATTAGACATATCATTAAAGAAGAGGACAAAATGTGCACTCTTGATTATGTGATTGATTCGATCGGTGATAAATTTATAATAAATATAGGTGATGATGATGACGACGACGATGGTGACAATTATGTAACCATATTTGAAGATTATGAATCAGAATAAATAAATTTTGTAAAATTTACTCATTGTCTTTTTTTTTTTCATTATTCTCACTCTCATAGAATACCAGCGTAAAATGGCAGCTTGACACTGCTGTGTTTCGTATGGTGAATGTACAGAGCCGGAGATTTTATATATATATATATATATTACTGGAAAAGAGGCATTCCATCTTAGTCCTCACAGGTGACGACGCATCTGCATTTTGATTCTTTATTGAGGATAAATGTATTACGATTGTCTATGGGTCACAGCAACCACTTACCATCAGGAGAATTATAGCCTTCGCTTTACCAATCTTGACATCTTCAACTCTAGTCTGGTACACTTTAGAAATGTTTTGAAAGGCATTCTCAAGGACAAGGACTTCCCCTTTGATTGATATTCACTAAAATTATAGTTCTTAATTTGTTGTATTTATGAGCTTGTTAGTATGAGCAATCTTATTTAAAATGTTTGTTTCTCAATCTTGGCATGCCGTGATAACACGTATAAGGATTATGTCTTGTATTACACTATTATTATTGTAAGTAATAGCTTTAAGTCATGATGTAATATGTTCTGTTGTCCAATAAATAAATAAAAGGTAAACTGTGTGTTCGTTTATCACCCTATCCTATAAAAAAACGTTTTGGTGAAATCTGTGTTAAGTTCCTTTACTAGTAGGTAACATTAGGTATGAAGAAACTTAACCAGGCTAATTGAATAAATGTTTGTTATGTTACATTTTCATACCCAAACTCCTAAATTGATTTTGGCGAAATTTTATAAAGATATAGGTAAGTTATGTGCCTACGGAAAAATATAGATAAGTAGTTCGTTTTACGATAGTGAATAAAAGCTATAGTAGTTATATCCTGCAAATTTTAACGATTTAATTTAACTGGATTCTTTCTACGCGCAATAATTAACTGGATTCTTTCTACGCGTGAGTGTTTGAAGTTTGATTTCGAAACTGCTTTTTAAACAAACCCAAGTATGTTTAGACCTACATAGTGTGCAAGGGAGAAGAAAATTCCTTATAGCTTGCTACATATATATTTATCTATGATTCCTTATGGCAAAAATGCAAGACAGAAAAGGATACCAAATCTCATGACTCTGTAGTCTGTAACCGATTTTAGATGAATGACAGATCGGCATAATTCGGCACGCAAGAAATAGCTATTACTATATTTACATAGAATAATTACGCATAGAATACTAGTACGCACACCGAAAGTGAAGCAAGTAAAACTAACTCAAAACGTCACGTCTTACGGAGAAGAGCTCGCGAAAAATTGTAAATATGACCGTTTGTGTTGTAAAATATTGTCGCAACGGTGATGATAAACATAAAAGAAGTGATGGTATTACATTTTACATATAAGTTTATACATTTAATTCATTATAAGTACGTAAAACTAAAAAAATACTTACCTAAGCTATTATGATACAAATGTTGCTAGTTGTGGGGAAAAAATCACAATTTTCTTTTAAAAATATTTATTTTCTATTCGTGTTTAAAACATTTAATCGCAACGCTCTGTGTAAAACTCAAATGTTTATATATGGATACCTAGTTCTCTAAGTGTTAACATTATATTAACAATGGGTGCCTATTTAAAACTAATACGGAATGATCAGTTAATCGCGATTCGTCGACGCCATTTTAACGCGACTATTTTATTTTAATTGCTTTTTTATTGACTAAGGTTACGTTTTAGAGTATAGATTAAAAACTTTTTTATTTACAACATCATGAGATAATTAATAAGAACGCCTTTACTAACCAGATGTCACTACACCCAAACATTAACCAGATGTTACGTTAGACCCAAATATAGCCTATTTTAACCGACTCCCAAAAAGAAAGGTTATCAATATGTGTGTACACTGATTTCTAAGCTTGATCAATTCGTATATACATGCTGAAATTTTAGTGGTTGTTGTCCCGCAGCCTAATTATACTTTCTCGATAGTAGAGTCAATTTATTAAATTAAAAAATATTACAATTAAAAAAGGGCAGATTTACTATAGTAATACCTCACAAGCTATTCGGGCGTCCAAACTAGTTTATGTCGTATCACTACGCTTGAGAGTTCATATTATGAACATTTATTAGTGGTCCTTCACTGTGTAGGAAGAGCGCGGTAGCACGTACGATAGACGTAACACTACATTACGTCCAGTGAATTTTTTTTCAGACTTTATTATAGTAATACGGTATAAGCTAGCCTGTACGCCCGACCTACTTGCGAGATATTGCTATTGGTTTGAGATCGCATTCGAGTATTCTTTTTCTCGATTGTAAATCTGCCATTTTTACATCTATTCTATTGTACTACTAAGGCAAAATCATTTTGCTTCGGGAAACCAACCATTAAAATTTCGGCGTGTGTATTGGATCAATCGGTGTGTATATCCTTTCAAAAAAAATCTAAATCGGTTTAGAAATTGTAGAATTCTGAGGTAAAAACATTAAATAATACACCGAATTGATAACCTCTCTTTTTGAAGTCGGTTAAAATTAAACATTACACGATGTGCTTATTGTATTCGAGCAAATTAATTGTGTTGAATAATATTTCCAAATTTTATTACGTCTGCATTTTTTACCATTAATATATGTATAATAAACTTATATTAGTAACATCATTATCGTGTTTATTTTATTCCATTTTATATTCTCATAAAATACTTCTACTAAATAATTTTCGTACGTAATACGTAATCTTTATTATATCGATTTTTTTTAAATTGATCAAAAAATAATGATTTGCACAATTTGATTGCAAACGCCAGAAACTGGCATCACTGAATGGCGTGTATGTTTGCGTGTGACGAGCGTAGGCACATTCGACTCGCGCCCACTAACATAATGACCTTGCATCATTTTAACGCTCGTGTTTTGTACTGGACTGCGTTTCTATGCGTAATAATTCTATGTATATTTATCTATGGCTATTACATGTTTTGTAATTTTTTAGTGTGTAATAGTGTTTATTTCTATTAAGTAACTTTTTTGCACAATGGTTAATAATAGAAATAGTCCTGATAATTGCACCTTTCACAGGTAAATTCTCAAGTCGTCGTCAATGTTATGACGCGTTTATTTTTGGTTAAAATTTATGTTATATACTGTGTAAAATATAGAATGATTTCAAATATTTTGTAAATTTTGATATTTCGCAAAGAAAAATGTCACGTTTTTGATAATTTGCATGAATTTGGTAAATACATTTTAATACAAAATATTTTACATGTACTCTAGGGATTTTCTCAACTTATATAGTTGAAATTATAAATTAATGTCGATATTTATCTTGAATGTTTATAATAAATCGATAGACTTTGCGCACACAGCAAAATAAATCCTCGGTTTGCGTTCTAAAATGTAAATTTATTTTGCTGTTTGTCAAACAGATGGATAGAATAAAAATGAAAAAGGTTAATTGGGCGACTTGGTTGGAATCCAAAGAAGAACTCTACAATTTGCAGCAAACATTTTCTTGAGATATATAAAATAAAAAGCAGAATAAAAACAATTTTATTAAAAGGAAGCATTCCTACATTATTTGTACCAGTAAGTATAATATTTTTACAATACGACTTTAATAATTTAACTTCAAAAACTTTAGGTAAATATAGAGATAGATTTTTATACCTTATAAAACTGCAATATATTAAATATAAAAAATTGAGATTTGCAACAATTATGAACCCAACTGAGTATCTATTCATCAACCAAAAATATGTGTAACCTTACTTAACCACCCGCACCTCACGGTCTCATTAGTATAATATTTATAGCATCACGTTATTTTCCCTAAGAGGTTAAGCGGAGTCTTGGATTATATACCCAAGTCACAATGATAAAACTTTTAATGTATATGTGAAGATAAGTTATATGAGATATATAAAGTATAAATAGGTTTTTACTTAATTAAGTATCTACATATTTATATTTGATTAACGTTATGTTAAAAAAATTCCGGGGAAACTGTTCATGGCAGTAAAGTTTCCTCTAAAGGTCATACATAATTCGAAAATACAACTCTGATTCTTGGAGGAAATTGTTTAAGTTTATCGGTAGACTCTCCTCTTCAAAGATTATTTGGAATTTGTACATTTTGAATTAAAATACAACAAAAGGCAG